TTTGATTTAGGGCTTTACAAAATGAATTTCATGTAATTGACACATTGACGGTAAGAGATTAATTCACTCAAACATAGCTTCTTATGGTTCATGATTCTTGATGTAATTTATTATATTGCAAATACGAGCCTGACTTGAGGATAAACATAAACTTTTAATCTGACCCACATGAGTCTAACGTCTATTACTTCATTAGAGGTAATAGACGTTACATGTGCATGTTGTAAACAACTCTAAGAATAAGTTCATCAAGAATGTGTTGCGTAAGCTATGACTTTTATTACAAACATTCCATTCCATTTACCACTTTGAACAACACATACTAATTAGATCAGAATACAGATTTTCCCAAAAAAATCTAAAACAATGTGATACCTTGATCACACTTTTGTAGATGAAAAAGTGACTGTAGTGAAGTTTTTTATTTCCCATATTTCCACACAGTAGATTAAAAATCTGAGAATAAGTGAACAGAGTGTTTGAACTGCATTGTAATCAAATCAAAATCTGTCACAAAAATATCTATGTAAATATTTGAAAAAGCGAAATGGTCCCACAGTTTACATTTCACAATTCATCATACAACAAATGTCCAATAGAGAGAATACAATTTCCCATGAATGCCATTTACTGTTTTGGTCTGTATTGTATCCTAAATATGGCCATTGTCGCAATGTTCCTATGGAAAGATCCATTGTTAAGTTTTCTAGGTGATCCAGTCACATGGCGATTTGACAAATGGCTCATGGCCCTCCATAGGCCTCAAATATGTGTTGCTGGGTCAGGGAGTTTGCACAATGGAAGCAACAAATTCTTTGCTTTTAGTCAGGTATAAAAGTAACAGTAAATCTCAGCTACGGTACTCACATTGTCAACAACCACACAGTCCTGCGAGGAACTTGCACCGAACATTAGCCATGGGAAAGGTAAGCAAAAGCCAGAAACAACCAACTTTTTCAGTATTAATGCTGTTTGAATGACAGTAAAGACTTATCAAAAAATTAAATAAAAAAATTAAATAATAATTTAAATAACTTGTACCACGCAGTACTCCTTACCCTTTGTTGTTGTTTTTTTTAGAAAGACTTATCAATGGTTATTAATTGGATATTAATGCATTTCACCCCCTTATTATTCAGATCATCTTCTACGAGGAGCGTAACTTCCAGGGCCGCTCATATGAGTGCATGAGCGACTGCTCTGACATGTCCTCCTACCTGAACAGGTGTCACTCCTGCAGGGTGGAGAGCGGCTGCTTCATGGTCTATGACCGTCCCAACTACATGGGAAACCAGTATTTCATGAGGAGAGGAGAGTATGCTGACTACATGAGCATGATGGGAATGAGGGACTGCATCAGATCCTGTCGTATGATCCCAATGGTATGTGGTTCTATTTTCTAACTATCCAGATTCAAAGGAATTAAAAACAATGTCATACATTACAGCACAGAGGCCAGTTCAGGATGAAGATCTACGAGAGAGAGAACTTTGGTGGTCAGATGCACGAGCTGATGGATGACTGTGACAACATCATGGACCGTTATCGTATGAACGACTGCATGTCCTGCCACGTCATGGACGGCCACTGGCTGATGTACGAGCAGCCTCAGTACAGAGGAAGGATGATGTACCTGAAGCCTGGAGAGTACAGGAGCTTCAGTCAGATGGGGATGAGCGGAACAAGGTTCATGAGCATGAGACGCATCATGGAGCAGTAAAAAATACAAGTGAAATTTGTCTTATTAGCTAATAAATACATATTTTTAAGAAACTTGTTTTGAATAAGTTCATCACAATTTTTACTAAGAATGCCTTGTTATACATTACTTATATATGATCTTCAAAGAAGGGATACAACCCCACCAATGTGTATTTACTTCTTGCTGAAAAGATCAGAAGAAAAACTCAGAGATCCAACTCCTGTGCTCCACTTTCTTACTTTACTCTTTACTACAAAAGCAACAAGTGCAAGATAAAATTATGAACGGTAGAATAAATCGATAAGACAGAACAAAAACAAGGTATAATTATATTTATATATTTTATATTTCACCCCCACATCCAACCGCACCCAAATCACACAAAAAAAGAAAGAAAAAGAACCCCCTACGGTCCAAAGCATTGTACCACATGGTCCTATGTGTTACCACATGGTCCTATGTGTTACCACATGGTCCTATGTGTTACCACATGGTCCTATGTGTTACCACATGGTCCTATGTGTTACCACATGGTCCTATGTGTTACCACATGGTCCTATGTGTTACCACATGGTCCTATGTGTTACCACATGGTCCTATGTGTTACCACATGGTCCTATGTGTTAGTGGTCCCTTCTCCTGCATATATTACAAACGTCCCCACCTCTGATTATCTTTTTGTTTTTGAATGGTTTATTTACTTGTTTGCATTGAATGTAGTTTTTTGGTTCCTTGTAAATACTTGCAAGTTGCCAGTTTAGTTACTTTTCATTACTTGCATAACATTCACAAAAACAGACAAAACTCCAGTCATGTTTTGATGTGTCTTTATTAAAAAAGTATGTATGCTAACTCAGCACTAATAATGAGCCATAAACTCAGCATAAACTTTTATTTAGTCCACAAATTAACCATTATACTAACAAGAATATTTTGATGATTTTTAGCTTCTTTCGTTCCTGTTTTAAAGCATAACATAAACACACATACATCCATGACGACGACAACAACAACATACGAGAACAAACTTCAGCTCAATCAGTCCAGTCGTCACATAGTTTCACACAGTCCTGCTTTGGATCACTTTTGAAGCAACTAACTCGACTCTACCCGCTTTGCGGGCGTTTCCATCGGCTCGCTTTAGCCACTATCTGGTACTTTTTAGTAGGGATGTACCAAATCCAGGATTTGGTTTCGGATTTGGCCGAATAATAGATCTTTTGACGGGGTTCGGTTTCTGCCGAACCATAGCATTTTTCCTCACCGAACTGAACCCTACGCTTACACTACGCACGCTACGCTGGTCGTCATGATGCCGCCGTTGATTATAGGAAGGTGTTTTCTGGGTTTGAATCCTGGTCCCGGAGTTTGCATGTTCTCCCCGTGCCTGGGAGGTTTCCTCCGGGTACTCCGGTTTCCCCTACCACTAAAAACATGCTCACTAGATTAAATCCTCCAGCTCTGGTCCTGACCAAGTCGAGCATCAACATCTGGAGATGGGTTCCCGGGCGTTGTTACTACGGCGACCACTGTTCCTGACGTAAGCCTTCGCGGCATCAGGATGGGTCAAATGCAGAGGATTGAATTGCCCTACGGGGATTAATAAAGTGCACCTTTACCTTTATGTAGGTGGCCCGTTCAAATGCAGTAGCTCAGGCTTACAGTTAAAATAAAATAAAATAAAATATACACTGCTGTGGATGTTATTTACTTTATAAACGCGTTTACTGTGTTAACAATAACACACAGCCTGGATGTACTACCCACTACATTTCTTAAGTCTGTTCTGAGCAGTCTTTCACTTTAACTCACACAAATAGTAAACATGTCTCTTTTATCTGGAACATTTCCAATGGCAATAGTAGCTCAGTTGGTAGAGCAACGGCCTTTGGGCCTGAAGGTTGTAGGTTCAAATCCACCACAAGACCTACTTCACGACTCCCACTGATGACTGCTGTTGTTGTGTCCTTGGGCAAGACACTTAACCCCACCTTGCCTGAACCCCCTTCAGAAAGATCTCAGCTCCTGTGGACTCACCACCTGCAGGAGGATCAGTGAGGGGCTGGTGCTCTGTGTACTGGGTGCAGCTCTGACTGCCACCCCCCCTGACCCAGAAAAGGATTAAGGGGAAGAAAATGGATGGATGGATTTCCAATGGCCCTGAAAACGGTGGTCATCAGGCCCCTCCTAAAAAAAGAGGAGTCTGGATGCCATTTCAAATCTGCCGTTCATGGGAAAAAAACTTTAAAAATTAGCTTACCAACAACTTACGGAATTTTTAGTAACTAATAACTCTTTTGATAGTACCATATGAACAGGCCCGGACTCTGAGGAACACAGGAGGTAGCCTGACTCTTGCTGGTTCCAAGAGTCAGAACTAAACATGGGGAGGCAGCGTCTCAGATTTATGCAGCTAAAATCTGGAACTGAATCTGGAACTTCCTGAAGGTGAGGCTGGCATCTACACCGGCAGTTTTCAAATCCAGGTTTAAAACAGTTCTGTTTAGGTGTGCATACAACTGAAGGATTTTATATTTACTGTTTTTAATGCATTGCGGCTATTTATCATTTTATTGCCGTGGGTATTTTTAATGTTTGAAGGTTTTCAATTACTTTTGTTTTAATTCTGCTTGTAATATTTTGCGTGTTTTTTATGTATATGTAGATTTTAATGTTTATGATCTGCTTGATAAGATGTGGGTTGTGAGGCGCTTTGTGTTGCCTTGTGTAGGAAAGGTGCTATACAAATAAAAGTTGATTGATTGATACACTAAATTGTGTAATTCTAGGACTTTAGGCATTTTCAAAACAGTGCTAAAGTTATAATATTCTAAATATATTGAATGATCTACAGCAGGGGGGCGCCTGACATCCCAGTTCACATGGGTTTCTTTGTGAGAAGAGTTTTCACTTTGAAAAGATCTGTGAATATCCCATATTCACAGATCTTTCTAGATTCAAACAACTAATTGATTTACAACAAGAATTATTGGCCAACTGAGATTGAAAATAATTATATCCCTAAGATAGAGTGGCCTGGTTCACGCATGGTCTGTAGTTTGAGATGATTAGTACGTAGGGAGCACAAAGGATATTTTGAAAACAAACATTCATTATTATGAAAGAAAAGGCTTTTTAAAGTGAGGTCCTGAAAATGTGGCCCCAATAGTAACCTGCTGAATAAGGGTTTTTCTGAGGGAGGCCATTGACTATTTGCCTGCTGCTATGTATAAAAGGAAGGGGTTAAACCAGGTAGAAGGTAGTAATGCACAAGAGCAAACACTCATCCTCGACTAACATGAGCAATACAGGCATGAACATGAGGGGGAAGGTAAATGCACATTCATTGGTATGAGGATTTGTAATAACATCAAGTACTGACTCATATAATATTTCTTTCCTTAGATCATCTTCTATGAGGAGAAGAACTTCCAGGGCCGCTCATATGAGTGCATGAATGATTGCTCTGACATGTCCTCCTACCTGAACAGGTGTCACTCCTGCAGGGTGGAGAGCGGCTGCTTCATGGTCTATGACCGTCCCAACTACATGGGAAACCAGTATTTCATGAGGAGAGGGGAGTATGCTGACTACATGAGCATGATGGGAATGAGTGGTGGAATCAGGTCCTGTCGTATGATCCCAATGGTATGTGGTCATAGAGCTGTTCTATTTTTACATTCAACCATCCAATTATGAATCAAGATATTTTGTATATTACAGCACAGAGGGAACTACAGGATGAAGATCTACGAGAGAGAGAACTTTGGTGGTCAGATGCACGAGCTGATGGATGACTGTGACAACATCATGGACCGTTATCGTATGAACGACTGTCAGTCCTGCCACGTCATGGACGGCCACTGGCTGATGTACGAGCAGCCTCAGTACAGAGGAAGGATGATGTACCTGAAGCCTGGAGAGTACAGGAGCTTCAGTCAGATTGGGATGAGAGGAACAAGGTTCATGAGCATGAGACGCATCATGGATTCCTGTTATTAATTTTCCCTTACTAAAATGTACAATATTTGGATACAAATAAAATGTTTTGTCTCTTATAATGTTATAATTTTGTTATCAATAGAGCTGTTTAAACTCATTGCAAAGACAATTTCAGAAGACATTGTTTGTTGAACCTGATTATTATTTGGATACCCAAATAGGTTGCGTTCATGTTCGAAAATTGTACGTCATTGGAACGATTCTTGAAATATTTTGGTTGGGGCTAACAAGTGTATACATCAGACAAAACAAAAAAGTGAGGTATTCCGGCTTTAGGACTCATGTCCTAATTTATGAGTCCACTCTGGTTCTGGTTGGGTTCTGGCCTGGGTTGGGTTTAGGTATGTGCTGCAATTGAGTTTGCAATTGCAATTGCAATTCTTTTCTATCGTCTTTTAAAGAGTCTTCCCTTTGGATTCTATCTGAAAATATAGGTGAACCACATCCAGGCACACAATTATCAGTCTTAATTAATCAACACACACGCTTTGGGGCCTGTGTTCAAATGCCGAGTTGACTTGTCTTAACAGTATGAACTCAAGGTGTGCTTCTTAGACCAGCATTAAAAGGCGGGCTGAGGAGGCATCATCAATGCACGGTGCGCCTATTTACGTTCAGCCATTTGTTATAAATGACAAATGTATAGTAAAAAGATGAGAGGTTGTAGTAGGGGTGCGCCATGTGGCCAGATGGAAACATGAAAAGAGAATATGCTTATTCTTATGTTGCCAAAATAATCAAAATAACCTTTGTCACTCAAAATGCATTTGGATTGATTATTTACCACACTTCTTTTAAAGATAAGGATTCTTTTCCGTCAGGAGTGAGCTGAGAAGGATAGACAGAAGTGGCCTGAAAACCCAGCAAAGTAATCCTCCACTCTCCTCGGGCGGCATGGTGGCTGAGTGGATAGCAATCTTACTTTTTAGCAAGAAGGTGACAGGTTCAAATCCTGGTTGGAACAGGGTCTTTCTGAGTGGAGTTTGCATTATCTGTGTATGTTTGCTCCGGGTCTTTTGGTTTCCCAATACCACTAAAAACATGTAGAATAGGTAACGTCCGGAATAAATTGGGCATCAACATCTGGAGAAGGGTTTGCAGGCTTACCATCTTCAGGTAAGTCATCATGTCCTAATGTTCGGAGATGACTGTGCGCAGACCTCCTCCAGTATTCCAGCCATCGATTGGTGGTTGATTGTTCCAAATGTGGTCTGCTAGAACTGTGGTCTGAATGATATTCAGACATTCATTCAGACATCATTATTTATAAAGCACATTTTTACACACCAAGGTCACCCAAAGCGTTTTACAAATGTTCAAAGTATGGTAACTTGAGCCTCTCCTCTCTCCTACTTTATCTGTCATCATTATGACGTCAGTTGTAGTCTGTTCAATGCTATTCACCTGCTGTCTCATCATCTGTTTCATGATGATGAGACCCCTGAATCCAGCTTCTACCATCTGCACCTGTGGACAGGTCCTGAAGCTATAGCCTGTTCGTCTGTGGGAGCGGATCCCTCTCTCAATGTGGGTCTACTTGAGGTTTCTAAATCTTTTGCCCCTGAGATTTTGAGTTGTCCCATGCCAATCTAAGGACAGGAAAGATTCAAAACATTAAAGGACATTTATGGACATTGGAAAGAAAAAAAGTACATGTAAAAATAATGATAATATGAAGCTTACCACAGATAGAATCATATTTCCTTGTTTTCAAGCTAACATTTGTGTACATTCACATAATGCACTGAATATCAAAGACAGCCCGGAATATTGCATGTGTCCAAGCTTTTGTTATGCACCCACTGGAAATGTAACAGTTTATGAATAGAGCCCCATAGATAGGGCATAAAGCAGCCATGTGACCCACACTGTAACATGTTAACAGTTGAGTCAATAGCACTTTGTACTATGTTGCTTTGTCAGGTATTTATACAAAGGGGGCCCACTGAGCATATAGCATTTGGTGAGGTATAAAGGCAAGGGTAAACAGGGGGACAGGGCAGTGGTACCAATAGCAACAGCAGCAGCTCAACAGTAACAATGTCCACCACAGACATGAGCTCGGGAAAGGTAAATTTGGCACTATTGGATTAATATAAAATGCAAAATAAAAAAATGAAATGAATGACTGTCTTTCAGATCATCTTCTATGAGGAGAAGAACTTCCAGGGCCGCTCATATGAGTGCATGAGCGACTGCTCTGACATGTCCTCCTACCTGAACAGGTGTCACTCCTGCAGGGTGGAGAGCGGCTGCTTCATGGTCTATGACCGTCCCAACTACATGGGAAACCAGTATTTCATGAGGAGAGGAGAGTATGCTGACTACATGAGCATGATGGGAATGAGTGGTGGAATCAGGTCCTGTCGTATGATCCCAATGGTAGGTATGACTAACATTTTGCTGGTTGAAATTTAAAGTTATACAATACAACAAGCAGAGCACCATAATGTTGACATTTGAGTTATATATAAAAAAAAAAAAATTGTGGATGACATTACTAACATTTCAATTCTATTTGTAGCACAGAGGCCAGTTCAGGATGAAGATCTACGAGAGAGAGAACTTTGGTGGTCAGATGCACGAGCTGATGGATGACTGTGACAACATCATGGACCGTTATCGTATGAACGACTGTCAGTCCTGCCACGTCATGGACGGCCACTGGCTGATGTACGAGCAGCCTCAGTACAGAGGAAGGATGATGTACTTCAGACCCGGAGAGTACAGGAGCTTCAGTCAGATGGGGATGAGCGGAACAAGGTTCATGAGCATGAGACGCATCATGGACATGTGCTGAATCATGAAGAGCAATAAAACAATTTAAAAGAAAATATATACTCTTTTGTCTGCTCCTCACACAGTGATATAAAAGGAAAATGAAAATGAATGCTATATTGTATAAGTATTAGATTTCCTCTAAATAAATACAATTGTATATAATACATTTAAGATAACAACAGATAACCGCTAACAATGTTGTTTCTCACATACCTACAATGTATTTCAAAGTCAAATCTTGATGTAATTAATTGATCCGTCAAAGCAGGCATGTCAAACTCAGGCCATATTCCGTATACTAATGTATAGGAACAGGTCTGGACAGGACATTGATAATACAATGGACCAGCAACAAGGGCAGAGGAACACATGGTACACAAAGACGCACAGAGACACAGGTGAAACACATCAGGGTGGGGCAGACAGTCAACACAGGCGAACAGGACAGGAAGTAAAACTAAAAATGAAACCACAGGGAACTAATGTCAAAGCACAAAAAAACTACAAAACCAGACCATGACTATATCCACGATGTGCGAATTTCACATCAGCTCCAGACACAGACCTTATGCAGTGCAATGAGAATCAGTATTTGACTTAGGGCTGCGTAAGGGTGTTCCTTTCTTTTATATTTTTATGTCTGAAAACATAAAACCAACCAGTTTTAAAGTCTTCAATCAATGTGTTAGATAATGTATGACGTAGTTTCAATTTAATTGGTTAGCAAGTTATAGGTATTCCAGCATTAAGTTAACTTCTATGTTGCAGCAAATAATTAATTCAGCTATATCAATATGTGGTATTTTGTATTTTAATGTTACACAACATCATAACTGGTTAAATACATCCAACTTGAAAAGTTGTTTTACATGTGGATGCCCTAGAGACAATTATCCTTTGGTAGAAAAGGGCACAAAATGGCTCTCTTCAAAAGAGACATTTCCTTTTCAAAAGAGTGTTTTGAGCCAATCTGGCGTCTGGTCAGATTTGTCTGACAGCGATGGGGATAAAGGCCCTGCGGTAGCGCTCCTTCTTGTCCTTTTTTTCATGGCCGCCAATACCTGCTTGTACAACTCAGAACCTTTGGAATTCAGTTGTTAACTAAAATTATATATACTGAAATTTGCATTTGATTATCTCACAAAATTTCATATATGGCCGTAATGTAGCTTTGTTGTAAATCAATAGACATGTTATCATACCCCATTTTAGAGCCCAAAACTAGTCAAAACAGTTTTAAATTCTATGTCATCGGCCTTGGTCAAATACAGTGAGCACAAGTGGCCCTCTTATTGCAAAGTTTGGACACCCCTGGTGTAGACGTATAGGCTCAACCCAAGAGAGCCGCTGTGTGTACATAAACAGCCTTTTAGAGAACTTTCTTCACATAACCATTAGTCAGAATGCACGTACACAATTTATCAACCGCAAAACTACAGTTTATCAATAGGCCTGTGAGTTTAACTTCAGTCGGTCCCCACGTATGTGCTTTGGTTAATTTCTGGATGGTAAAAAACTGTTATTTCCATCGGCTGTTGGTCTCATTGTGCACTCTGGCCCCAAGCCTGTCAGAAAACATGGACTTAGCTGTTCATTTGGGAAAGTGTCTATGCTCTTTTCAGGCTCTGCACAGAAACCATGTACTTTACTCCAAGCATCTTTTACATTTTACATTTGAATCTTTTTCAACCCGTCATGGATCGCACAAAAAAAGAACAAGTGACGTTGCCCGGCATGGCGCAGCCGGGGCCCCACCCTGGAGCCAGGCCTGGGGTTGGGGCCCGAAAGCGGGCGCCTGGTGGCCGGGCCTTAGCCCACGGGGCCCGGCCGGGCTCAGCCCGAAAGGACGACGTGGGCAGTCCCTCCTGTGGGCCCACCACCCGCAGAGGGGTCCGTGGCGGCTCGGTGCAGAGAGGACTGGGCAGCAGTCGAAGGCGGAGACCTCGGCGACCCAGTCCGCACACCCAACATCTAGCTCTTGGGACGTGGAACGTCACCTCACTGGGGGGGAAGGAGCCCGAGCTTGTGGGGGAGGTCGAGAGGTACCGACTAGAGATAGTCGGCCTCACCTCCACACACAGCTTGGGCTCTGGAACCCAACTCCTTGAGAGGGGTTGGACGCTCCACTTTTCTGGTGTTTCTCGCGGGGAGAGGCGGCGAGCTGGGGTGGCCATACTCATTGCCCCCCATCTCAGCCGCCACGTGTTGGAGTTCTCCCCGGTGAATGAGAGGGTCGCGTCCCTCCGCCTTCGGGTGGGGGACAAGTCTCTCACTGTTGTGACGGCCTACGGGCCTAACAGCAGTGCAGAGTACTCGGCCTTCTTGGAGTCCTTGGGAGGGGTACTGGACAGTGCACCGCCCGGGGACTCCGTCATTCTCCTGGGGGACTTTAACGCCCATGTGGGAAGCGCCAGTGACACTTGGAGAGGGGTGATCGGGAAGAACGGCCCCCCTGATCTGAACCCGAGTGGTGTTCAGTTGTTGGACTTCTGTGCTAGTCACAGTTTGTCCATCACCAACACCATGTTTGAGCACAAGGGTGTCCACCAGTGCACGTGGCACCAGGACACCCTAGGCCGGAGGTCGATGATCGACTTTGTTGTCGTATCATCTGACCTTCGGCCGCGTGTTTCGGACACTCGGGTAAAGAGAGGGGCGGAGCTGTCACCGATCACCACCTGGTCGTGAGTTGGATCCGCTGGCAGGGGAGGAAGCCGGTCAGACCTGGCAGACCCAAGCGTGTAGTGAGGGTTTGCTGGGAACGTCTCGCTGAGACCCCTGTCAGACGGACTTTCAACTCACACCTCCGGGAGAGCTTCTCCCAGGTCCCGGCGGAGGAGGGGGATATTGAGTCTGAGTGGACCATGTTCTCTTCCTCTATCGCCGATGCGGCGGCTCGTAGCTGTGGTCGCAAGGTCTCTGGTGCTGGTCCCGGCGGCAACCCCCGAACCCGGTGGTGGACACCGGCAGTAAGGGATGCCGTCAGGCTGAAGAAGGAGTCCTATCGAGCCATGATGGTTCGGGGGACTCCTGAGGCAGCTGTCCAGTACCGGCAGGCCAAGCGTGCCGCGGCCCGGGCTGTTGCAGAGGCAAAAACCCGGGACTGGGAGGAGTTCGGAGAGTCCATGGAGCATGACTATCGGTCGGCCTCGAAGAGATTCTGGCAAACTGTCCGGCGCCTCAGGAGGGGGAAGCAGTTCTTTGCCAACACCGTGTACGGTGCGGGGGGTGAGCTGCTGACCTCGACCGGGGATATTGTCGGACGGTGGAAGGAATACTTCGAGGTTCTCCTCAATCCCCCCGTCACGTCCTCCGCTCCGGAGGCAGAGGCTGAGGATGTTGGGGCGGATACTTCTGTCACCCTGGCAGAGGTCACCAAGGTGGTTGGCAGCCTCCTTGGTGGCAAGGCGCCGGGAGTGGATGAGATCCGTCCTGACTATCTAAAGTCTCTGGATGTTGTAGGACTGTCTTGGCTGACACGTCTCTGCAACATCGCGTGGCGATCGGGGGCGGTGCCAATGGAGTGGCAGACCGGGGTGGTGGTTCCTCTCTACAAGAAGGGGGACCGGAGGGTGTGTTCCAATTATCGTGGGATCACACTCCTCAGCCTCCCTGGTAAGGTTTACTCCAAGGTACTGGAGAGGAGGTTACGGCCGATGGTCGAATCTCGGATTCAGGAGGAGCAGTGTGGTTTTCGTCCCGGCCGTGGAACACTGGACCAGCTCTACACTTTCCATCGGATACTCGAGGGTTCATGGGAGTTCGCCCAACCTGTCCACATGTGCTTTGTGGATTTGGAGAAGGCGTTCGACCGTGTTCCCCGGGGTGTCCTTTGGGGGGTCCTCCGTGAGTACGGGGTCCGGGGTCCTCTGCTGAGGGCCGTCCGGTCCCTGTATGACCGGAGTCAGAGCTGTGTTTGCATTGCCGGCAGTAAGTCAGACCTGTTCTCTGTGCACGTTGGCCTCCGCCAGGGCTGCCCTTTGTCACCGGTTCTGTTCACTGTATTCATGGACAGAATTTCTAGGCGCAGCCAAGGGTCGGAGGGGGTCCGGTTCGGGGACCACAGGATTTCTTCTCTGCTGTTTGCAGACGATGTTGTCCTGTTGGCTCCAACGAACCAGGACCTGCAGCATGCACTGGGACGGTTTGCAGCCGAGTGTGAAGCGGCTGGGATGAGAATCAGCACCTCCAAATCCGAGGCCATGGTGCTCGACCGGAAAAAGGTGCCCTGCCCTCTTCAGGTGGGTGGAGAGGTCCTTCCTCAAGTGGAGGAGTTCAAGTATCTCGGGGTCTTGTTCACGAGTGAGGGAAGGATGGAGCGTGAGATTGACAGGCGGATCGGTGCAGCGTGCGCAGTGATGCGGTCGCTGTATCGGACCGTTGTGGTAAAGAGGGAGCAGCGTCTGCAGTCAGAGCTGTATCGGACCGTTGTGGTAAAGAGGGAGCAGCGTCTGCAGTCAGAGCTGTGTCGGACCGTTGTGGTAAAGAGGGAGCTGAGCCGAAAGGCAAAGCTCTCAATTTACCGGTCAATCCTCGTTCCCTCCCTCACCTCTGGTCATGAGCTTTGGGTAATGACCGAAAGAACAAGATCGCGGATACAAGCGGTCGAAATGAGCTTCCTCCGCAGAGTGGCTGGGCGCTCCCTTAGAGATAGGGTGAGGAGCTCAGTCACACGGGAGGAGCTCGGAGTAGAGCCGCTGCTACTCCACGTCGAGAGGAACCAGTTGAGGTGGCTCGGGCATCTGTTCCGGATGCCTCCTGGACGCCTCCCTGGGGAGGTGTTCCGGGCACGTCCCACCGGGAGGAGGCCCCGGGGAAGACCCAGGACACGCTGGAGGGACTATGTCTCTCAGCTGGCCTGGGAACGCCTTGGGGTCCCCCCGGACGAGCTGGAGGAGGTGTGTGTGGATAGGGAAGTCTGGGCGTCTCTGCTTAGACTGCTGCCCCCGCGACCCGGCAACGGATGAAGCGGAAGAAAATGGATGGATGGATGATGTGCAGTGCGTGCGGGAGCATCTGCCCAGACCAAAGTGTGAAAGCAGATTCCAGACGGAGGAACCGGAACACAGTGGTCCTAATGTCTGTTCGGTCCCAATGACTCCCAAAGTGGGAGGCGTTCCACCTCCCAGGGCCTCCATGGGGCCTGGACGCCTCCCTGGGGCCTGGACACCTCCCTGGGGCCTGGACACCTCCATGGGGCCTCCATGGGGCCTGGACGCCTCTCTGGGGCCTCCCTGGGGCCTGGACACCTCCCTGGGGCCTCCCTGGGGCCTGGACACCTCCCTGGGGCCTGGACACCTCCCTGGGGCCTGGACACCTCCATGGGGCCTCCATGGGGCCTGGACGCCTCTCTGGGGCCTCCCTGGGGCCTGGACACCTCCCTGGGGCCTCCCTGGGGCCTGGACACCTCCCTGGGGCCTCCCTGGGGCCTCCCTGGGGCCTCCCTGGGGCCTGGATGCCTCCCTGGGGCCTGGACCCCTCCCTGGGGCCTGGTCACCTCCCTGGGGCCTGGACGCCTCCCTGGGGCCCCCCTGGGGCCTGGACGCCTCCCTGGGGCCTCCCTGGGGCCTGGACGCCTCCCTGGGGCCTGAACCCCTCCCTGGGGCCTGGACGCCGCCATGGGGCCTGGACGCCTCCATGGGGCCTGGACGCCTCCATGGGGCCTGGACGCCTCCCTGGGGCCTGGACACCTCCCTAGGGCCTGGACGCCTCCATGGGGCCTCCCTGGGGCCTGGACACCTCCCTGGGGGCTGGACGCCTCCATGGGGCCTCCCTGGGGCCTGGACACCTCCCTGGGGCCTGGACGCCTCCCTGGGGCCTCCCTGGGGCCTGAACCCCTCCCTGGGGCCTGGACGCCTCCCTGGGGCCTGGACGCCTCCATGGGGCCTGGACGCCTCCATGGGGCCTGGACGCCTCCCTGGGGCCTGGACACCTCCCTGGGGCCTGGACGCCTCCCTGGGGCCTCCCTGGGGCCTGAACGCCTGGGCCAACCAGTCAGACACTATGAGCCCATTTTTTTTCTGTGTTACTGCAAAAGCCACATCATACAAATGGACACACATGAACGTCACCCCATCACTTACACACACACAAACGCACATTCACAGACACACACAAACACATCCACGCACACATGCAGCCAGATTTATTGTAAATGTCACACACCAACATGATAATGACAGAAATTGAGAGTTGAGTTTACTTGGGTCAGCTTGTTACCCAATAAGAATGTGAAAGCCCGGGAGCCACATGGAATTAGCCAAAGAAGTCTGTCACCTTAAACTTAAAGCCTTGATTTATAATGAAGCTGTTGAAAGCTGTTGTAATCTTCTATGCTACTTGATCAAAGGAAGTAATAGTAAGATTCAAGAAGAACTCAACACCTCCAAGGTTCCAAAAGAGCTCAACACCTCCACCACCAGCATCATCAGCAGCTGCCACATCTTCATCAGCGCCATCAGCATATACAGCACCACCAGCAGCAGTGGATACAGCAGCAGCAGTGGCTGCTCCATCATCTTCAGCAGCACTTTCCCCACCTACAGCTCCCGTGAAGCTTCCCCCACTGCTCCAGGCTACAGTCAGGCCTGTACTGGGGGTTCCTCAACCACCTGTCTCCACCAAAGACTCCCTCATCACCTTCCATGGACCCGGCTTGGGTCCCCCCCGCTACATCCACTCCATCTAGGGAAAATGAGGACGACCTTTCCCTTTGTTTTCCATCCCCGCCTTCACTACTGGAATTACCGGAACACTCTGCAGGCATGATAAGATCAGCGATTAAGACTATTCCTCTCACACCCACTGTAGCCAGATCAAGAGTCCTATCTAACATTCAAAACTACTCCCCATACGTACCTCCAAAGCCACCTAGGGCATATTTTTCTGAAATGATTGAAGGCTGCAGCAACAATCTGCGTGTTCTGTTTTCAACAGTTAATAGATTAACAAACCCCCCTGTTCAAATGCCATTAGAGCTAACTTCCAAACGTAAATGTAATGAGTTTGCTAATTTTTTCAGTGACAAGGTTCAAGGCATCAAAAGCGCCATTGTATCCAATCCACAGATAACAATCCAACAGCCTAAAAGGCTCTTTGAGCTAACTTACTTTGCACCTGTAGATGATAAAACTGTCCAAGAGATAATCTCCAGTTTGAGCTCCTCCACATGCAGCCTGGATGTACTACCCACTAGATTTCTGAAGTCTGTTCTGAGCAGTCTGTTACCTTCACTCACACAGATAGTAAACATGTCCCTTCATTCTGGAATATTCCCAAAGGCCCTGAAAACTGCAGTCATCAGGCCCCTGCTAAAAAAGAGCAGTCTGGATGCTACGGTACTTAACAACTATCGTCCCATCTCAAATCTGCCATTTATGGGGAAAGTCCTTGAAAAAGTTGTCTACCTACAGCTTACTAGATTTCTTATAATCAACAACTCATTTGATATGTTTCAGTCCGGCTTTAGACCCCACCACAGCACTGAGACTGCTCTCGTTAAGGTTACAAACGATATCCGGCTGAACACTGACGCAGGCAAAGTCTCAATCTTAATCTTGTTAGATCTAAGTGCTGCCTTTGACACCGTCGACCATGAGATCCTCTTACAGAGATTAGAGGACTGGGTTGGAGTCGCTGGCACCGCCCTAAGTTGGTTTAGGTCTTACCTTGAAGACAGGAAGTACTTTGTGGAGATTGGAAACTGTGTCTCAGATCATATGGCCCTGACCTGTGGAGTCCCACAGGGGTCGATCCTGGGACCTCTTCTGTTCAATCTCTACATGCTGCCGTTAGGTCAGTTAATACGCAGAAACAAAGTTTCCTATCATAACTATGCAGACGACACTCAGATCTATGTCTCACTGACTGCAGGAGAACATGGACCAGTGGACTCACTCCTTCACTGTATCCAACAGATCAGTGAGTGGATGCAAAACAACTTCCTTCAGCTAAACGCAGACAAAACTGAAATGATTGTCTTTGGTCCCCAGAAACAAAGAGAGAGCGTCATCTGTCACCTACAGTCTCTCTCCCTAAAACCTTCAAACAAGGTCAGAAATCTAGGGGTAATACTGGAGTCAGACTTAAATTTTAATAGCAACATCAAATCAGTAACATCAGCAGCTTTTTACCATCTAAAAAACATTGCCAGGATCAAAAACATAGTGTCTAAAGCAGACTTGGAGATTCTTATCCATGCATTTGTCTCCAGTAGGTTAGACTACTGCAATGGCCTGCTCACAGGTCTGTCCAAACAGGCTGTAAAACAGCTGCAGTACATTCAAAATGCAGCAGCTCCAGTCCTGACTAGAACCAGGAAGTACGACCACATTAGTCCTGACTAGAACCAGGAAGTACGACCATATTAGTCCTGACTAGAACCAGGAAGTACGACCACATTAGTCCAGTCCTCAGGTCCCTGCACTGGCTTCCTGTGTCTCAGAGAATAGACATGCAGCCAGCGAAAATTCAATTTGGTAGACGTTAACCAAAATTACCCCCTCCAGGCCGGCTCGCATCCCCAGCCTATCGCTCAGCAGACGCCCCCTTCCAATCATCTGTACCGACTCGCAGCCGCATAAAAACGGAGAAACTCCCACTTCTCGGCTCCTGAAGCCTTGCAAGCCCTCGAAGCCTTGCAAAGAATCGTCTGGAGGAATCGTTTTCGTCTACTCACGCTACTCGGCGCGACCCTGGCGTCCTCCGTCTGGCTGCTTGTGGTCTGCTCCTCCTTCGCGTCCCTGCACTGGTCTGCTCCTCCTCCACGTCCCTGCACTGGTCTGCTCCTCCTCCACGTCCCTGCACTGGTCTGCTCCTCCTCCACGTCCCTGCACTGGTCTGCTCCTCCTCCACGTCCCTGCACTGGTCTGCTCCTCCTCCACGTCCCTGCACTGGTCTGCTCCTCCTCCACGTCCCTGCACTGGTCTGCTCCTCCTCCACGTCCCTGCACTGGTCTGCTCCTCCTCCGCGTCCCTGCACTGGTCTGCTCCTCCTCCGCGTCCCTGCACTGGTCTGCTCCTCCTCCGCGTCCCTGCACTGGTCTGCTCCTCCTCCGCGTCCCTGCACTGGTCTGCTCCTCCTCCGTGTCCCTGCACTGGTCTGCTCCTCCTTCGCGTCCCTGCACTGGTCTGCTCCTCCTCCGCGTCCCTGCACTGGTCTGCTCCTCCTCCGCGTCCCTGCACTGGTCTGCTCCTCCTCCGTGTCCCTGCACTGGTCTGCTCCTCCTTCGCGTCCCTGCACTGGTCTGCTCCTCCTCCGCGTCCCTGCACTGGTCTGCTCCTCCTCCGCGTCCCTGCACTGGTCTGCTCCTCCTCCGCGTCCCTGCACTGGTCTGCTCCTCCTTCGCGTCCCTGCACTGGTCTGCTCCTCCTTCGCGTCCCTGCACCTGCTGTGGTTCGCATATCTTCACTGCTTTCCTCCTCTGCGGGCTCTTTCTGCGGGCTGCTCCGCGGGGCCCTCTGCAGGTTCTGTGCTGCTCGTTCCTCGTGGCCTGCTGCCGTGCGCAGACGGTCTGGCGGTGCCGTGCATGTCCCTGCCTCCGATTGGCGGTGCCGCGTTGTCCCGTTGCTTTTCCCAAGTCTCCTGGCATGTGAGTACAGTGAGTGTGCTGACCGCGGTCGGATTAATCCCGGAGTTTTGGGCTGCAGGCGGCTGGTTTTTGCCCCGCGCACTGGACTGCAGGCGTCAGTTTTTTCGCCCCGTGCTTGGTCTGCAGGCTCCGTTTTCGCATGTGTTGAGCTAACTGAGGGGCAATGCATCTTAAATGGCATCAATCTCTATCGTCTGAGGGATATAAGAGGAGCTACGTGCATTAATTCAGAATCATGTTCTGCCACTTGCAGTAAAACCATGCATTTAAATAGCTAGGTCGCTGGTATTAAATTAGGTAACTAAACTGCAGTTGTTGCATTTTGAAAGTGCAGCAGAAAGAAAAAGGGCCCAATGTGAATCTGCAATGGGTGCGAAGTGGTGTTGGAGCTAATGAACGCGTGGATCAGTGATCGTTCATGCGTATCTGCCATAACCAAAGCAGCAAGATGGCTCCAGGGGACATCTGTTATTCGCATGGGAATGTTTCAGATTCGGGTTGATTTATTTCCTCAGGCTCTTAAACAACCATGGGCACGGTTCTCTGACCGCCGCTGCTGCGGTCCCTGCTGCCGTTCCTACTGATGCCTGATCCCGCTGATGCCTGTTCCTGCTGCCGCTCCTGCTGTTGCCTGTCCCTGCTGCCTGCTCCTGCTGCTCCTACTACTACATGTGCCGCTGCTGCTGTTCCTGCTGCCGCTCCGCAGGCTCCCAGGCTGCACCTGTCTCTACGGCTCGGCTCTTTCAGACACGTATGTAACCTGGCTCACGGAGACAAGCGGCGCACGCTGGCGTGACACGTCTGTTGTTCGTATGAATCGCATTGTGGTGCTGCTGCTCCCGCTAATGCTGCTTCTGCTGCTTCATACTGCTACCGCCACTGCTGCTACTGCTGCTGCTGCTGCTTCATACTGCTACTGCTGCCGTGCTGCTGCTGCTTCATGTATTTGACATCTCTCCTCACTTCGCTTCTCTTACTGAAACACTAAACAGCTACAACATATTCTACTGCTGTGGCTTTGATACAGGATTTTTGCCGTTATTATCTACGGATGCTGCAGCTGCTGCTGCCGCGGCTTGATACAGGATTGTTGCCGTTATTATCTGAGGTTACTGCTGCTGCCGCTGCTGCTGCCGCTGCTGCTACTGCTGCAACCCACTCTCTCAGAAGCTTATCCTGCTTCTAATGGATGCAGCCCGGCCCAGTGTTGCCAACTTAGCGACTTTGTCGCTAGATTTAGCGACTTTTCAGACCCCTATAGCGACTTTTTTTCAAAAAAGCGACTAGCGACAAATTCTAGCGACTTTTTCTGGTGTTATTGGCGACTTATCTGGTGTTTTGGCGACTTATCTGGTGTTTTGGAGACTCGTGAAGCACGTATTGTTCTGCTGTCCTCAACGTGAGCCCCTCCCCCGTCCCAAAGCACTTACAGGCGGCCAGTCTCACAGTAGCCTTGCGCAGCAGTCCCAGCTACAGTCTATGGGCGGAGCAGAGAGAGAGGAGACTCAAAAGCACAGGGAGTTTTCAGGCTGCTGCAGACTGAACTCCAGCTCCACCACCACCACACATCCAAAGCTCCTCGGCCACTCCTACCACCGCCACCCCCCACTACCCCCCACTCCATCCGCGGCAGCTCTGTCCGTGACTCTGTTTTCTCTCAGTAGTGGGTCACATTAAATCATTTGTTATGCCAAACTATGAAAAAAAAAAAAACTTACAAAAATAAACCTAAGTAACTCTGCCAGAGTGTGTCTTTTGGGTCACTTTGCCGGTCCCAAGCCCGGATAAAGGAGGAGGGTTGGTTGTAGAGCTAGCAATTTCACCCTACATAACAATCTTTTGATTACATTTGCTGTTATAACATTTAACAATACAGGACAAAACTGATGTGTGTAATGTGGATCTAGACAAAGCATTAAAATCATTAAATGTTGTTAATATTGAAATTATTTTTGTACATTTGTAGTTCTAAACATATTTAGGGTGTTTTCACTCACTTTTGTCTCTCCCACGACCTTATTCCTCTCTCCTACAGCGTCCGTTACAGTTATTTGCAAATGGCAAATTATGCAAATTAGGCGATGACGTCATTTAGCGACTTCTAGCGACTTTTGGGACAGCCAATAGCTACTTTCCTTACTGAGGAGTTGGCAACACTGGCCCGGCCGAGCATGCCGCGCTGCGCTGGACTCGTACCTATGCTCCCAGGGTCGCTTCGGCGGTCATGCTTCATCTCTCTACTTAATCTTCTGATTCTATCAGATGCAGCCGGCCGAGTGGCTGCGCTGAGCCGTCAATCGGACTCCTAATCAAAGGCATCCATACCTGTATTCTTCACTCTTCTGATCGCAGGCTCCCCGTCATGCTGCCCATCCTGCAGCGGCTCTGAGCGGCACTGAACTCCGGCTCATCTTCCAAGTACATGTCTGCCCTCCTCGCAGCATCTTCCTGCTCGCCTTCTATGACTTCTCTGCATAAGCGTTCACTACTGCTCGCTCAACCTTCATGCGGTCCGAGACACGGCTTTTCCCGACCATCCTACTATCCTGATTATCTACTCTCCAACCCAAGATTCTAAGCGTAAGGGCGCCTGCATCATCAATGGCCCTCTCCGATATGTCTCTGCCCCTTCAGGTCTCCGCTTCTACACGGACGCTGCCCCTTCCGTGGGTTTTGGGGGGTTTTTTCCAGGACCATTGGGTTACCGGGCCATGGCCGCTACCTTCCACCGGAGCATCTCCTCTGCCCTACACGAGACATTCCCAGTGGTCTTGGCCTGCGCGCCGTGGAATCACACGTGGCAGAGAAAGAGGATCTCTGTCATGCGCGATAATCTCGACGTAGTGGAAGCATCACACAAAGGTTGCTCTTTCAACCCCTGACCCTTTCAACCTTCATCTCAACATTCAAAGACCAAGGCGCCTGCAACATAATGATAGCTCGCTCCGACACATCTCTCTGCCCCTACAGGTCCATGATGCGTTACACTTGCCTCCGCTGCAAAAAGGAGACTTTAACGGACCTCTAATTCTCACTCCAGACAACCTTCCCATGACAGCAACCTGGTTCAGAGCTCAACTAAGATCCCTACTGCTCCTCTGTAAATTATCTCCCCAGCTCTACACAGCCCACTCCTTCAGGATAGGCGCTGCCACGCGCGCGGCCTCGCTGGGGCTCCCCCACACCTCTCCAACAGCTGGGGCGCTGGTCCTCTTCGGCTTTCTCCGCCTACATCAGCCCAGACGCGTCCTCCATCCTGGCTGCACAACGTCTACTGGCTTCCTCGTAAGCTCCCAGCAAAGCAATACGAAGCAAAGTAAGTGAAGCAATAAGATTCTGGTGGCGGCACGCACTTCTCAAACACTCTCCGCTGCCGCAGCGCCTGACGGAACGTGATGCGAACGCTCACGTTCCCAGCGCGCAAAGATAACCCACGATGCATTACACTCGCCTCCGCTCTCGGAAAGGAGATCTCAACGGACCGTTATTTCTCACCCCCGATCACCTCCCAATGTCATCCAACGGGTTCAGAGCCCAACCAAAGTCCGTACTGCCGCTTTGTAACCTGTCTCCCCATCTCTACGCAGCTCACTCCTTCCGGATAGGCGCCGCCAGCAGCCGAGAATCCGCAAGTATTGATCACAGTAGATAGCGGTCACAGCATATAGCGATAGCGGTCACAGCATATAGCGATAGCGGTCACAGCATATAGCGATAGCGGTCACAGCATATAGCGATAGCGGTCACAGCTTAGCGATAGCGGTCACAGAATAGAGCAGTCACGACGTCTGTCCCCTCCAAACCAGGCTTCGAAAACTCCATCAACACGCAGCCTTTTTGGGGATTGTGCGCGCTCCATCGCAGGAGCCTTTCCAATCTGAAGGCCGCACCGGGACCTAGGGCGCCAAACCTCCTTTCAATAAAATACTCAACTTCCTGTTTCTCGTCTCTCCAAATTGAAATGCAGCCAGCGAAAATTCAATTTGGTAGACGTTAACCAAAATTACCCCCTCCAGGCCGGCTCGCATCCCCAGCCTATCGCTCAGCAGACGCCCCCTTCCAATCATCTGTACCGACTCGCAGCCGCATAAAAACGGAGAAACTCCCACTACCGGCCTCTGAAGCCTTGCAACCACCGCCTCCCCTCCTCCTCCTCTTCACCCTGCCTTCAATCTGCCTTCAATCTGCTTCCAAATGCCGCCACCAGTGCCTAGGTCCCAAGGGATTGTGCGCGCTCCATCGCAGGAGCCTTTCCGATCTGAAGGCCGCACCGGGACCTAGGGCGCCAAACCTCCTTTCATAAAATACTCAAAAAACTTCCTGTTTCTCGTCTCTCCAAATTGAATTTAAAACAGCTCTGCTTGTTACAAGTCTCTCCATGGCCTCACACCAAAATATATTAGTGACATGTTAGTCCCATATGAACCAGCCCGGACTCTGAGGAGCACAGGGACTGGACTCCTGCTGGGACTCTGAGGAGCACAGGGACTGGACTCCTGCTGGGACTCTGAGGAGCACAGGGACTGGACTCCTGCTGGGACTCTGAGGAGCACAGGGACTGGACTCCTGCTGGGACTCTGAGGAGCACAGGGACTGGACTCCTGCTGGGACTCTGAGGAGCACAGGGACTGGACTCCTTCTGGGACTCTGAGGAGCACAGGGACTGGACTCCTGCTGGGACTCTGAGGAGCACAGGGACTGGACTCCTGCTGGGACTCTGAGGAGCACAGGGACTGGACTCCTGCTGAGACTCTGAGGAGCACAGGGACTGGCCTCCTGCTGGGACTCTGAGGAGCACAGGGACTGGACTCCTGCTGGGACTCTGAGGAGCACAGGGACTGGACTCCTGCTGGGACTCTGAGGAGCACAGGGACTGGACTCCTGCTGGGACTCTGAGGAGCACAGGGACTGGACTCCTGCTGGGACTCTGAGAAGCACAGGGACTGGACTCCTGCTGGGACTCTGAGGAGCACAGGGACTGGACTCCTGCTGGGACTCTGAGGAGCACAGGGACTGGACTCCTGCTGGGACTCTGAGGAGCACAGGGACTGGACTCCTGCTGGGACTCTGAGGAGCACAGGGACTGGACTCCTGCTGGGACTCTGAGGAGCACAGGGACTGGACTCCTGTTAGTGCCCAGAGTCAGAACTAAACATGGGGAGGCTGCTTTTCAGATTCATGCTAAAATCAATCAATCAATCAATCAAAGTTTATTTGTATAGCACTTTACAACAACACCAGGAGGACCAAAGTGCTTCACAGACAGATTAAAACAATTTAAAACACAAAATGAAAACAACCAAGACACAATTCAGTGTGCCCTAAGTATTAAAAGCTAGTTTAAAAAGATGAGTCTTTAATCTGGACTTAAAAAGGGACAGGTCCGTGAGAACACGCAGACTGAGTGGCAAGCTGTTCCACAGTTTAGGCGCTGCAACCCTGAAGGAACGTTCGCCCCACTGTTTGTAGTGGGACCTGGGCACATCCAGAACCATAAAATCTGGAACAGTCTTCCTGAAGATGTGAGACAGGCCTCCTCTCTGACAATGTTTAAAACCAGGTTAAAGACAGTTCTGTTTAGCTGTGCTACAACTGAGGGATTTTATATTTTTATCTTTCTTTTTAATGTTCTGTGATTATTTATGGTTTTGATGCTATCTTGTTCAGCACTTTGAGTTGCCTTGTGTATGAATTGTGCTATACAAATAAACTTGCCTTGCCTAAGATGCAACAGCTCTGAACTGGTTTAAAAATCCATCTATACGTTTTTTTTTTTTTGGGCATTTTGGTGCTAGAGGGTACACCCCTAAAAGTAGGTGACATCCTTAGGAGCAGGACAAGAGCAGGAAAATATGAGATATCTATGACGATCGGGCATTCATGAGACCAAAATCCGCCTAATTATCCTGCAGTGTGAACCAGGTTTAAGCTGGTATGAGCTCATTTCCTTACATGGACATTTGTTTTGGTAGGGGTAGCTTTGTGCCGTAACAGGAACAGAATGTTATGCTAACATGGTTCCCCGCAAATTAAGATCTGATTAGTCAGTCCTTATGGCTCTTATCTGAATTCACAAAGACAAGATTTTCTAAATATTATGTTTTCTTGTAAGTACATGTATATGACAGGTCTTAGGAGTGTTTAGAATTGCATGCATATACAGTATATAAATACAATATACACTTTCAAGTAAAGAGCTAAAAACAATAAACACAATTTGCTGGTATCTACTATTGTGATTATTTGTTAATAGTTTGGTTTTATTCTTTGATTTGATATGTTTGTGATTTTTATCTGTGAATAGTGTCCTGTAAATATTGATTTTGACGTACTTTACTTAGTTCAACACAAAACTAGGTCATGAAAATGGGACATCTTTATTTTTAGCACAAAGATACTGGTTATGTTAGATAGTAAGTTTACACATTCAAAAAACATTATGATTTTGGTACTGTGAATGGGGAAAAAACAGCACAAGCAGCCTCAGTTAACAAATGCAACCACCGCAAAACATGGGAGTGTATAAGGTCATTTAGAATCGAACAGTATGTGGGGCCTCTGTTCTAGGCTGCTCTGTCAGGATTTTGAACAATGGGTCATGCATCCTTTGGGTGTGGAGTCTGGTATAAAAGCAAGCAGCAGGCATCAAGAAAATTGTGCAGTTATTTAGTGCCACAACAATTTATCTTTAATGATGACAATGGGCAAGGTGTGCATAATTGACTAAAATAATTACTATAAAGTAAAACATGAAATACTAATTTATGTTTGAATTTTTTCAATTTCAGATCATCTTCTACGAGGACAGGAACTTCCAGGGTCGTTCCTATGAGACCAGCAGTGACTGTGCCGACATGTCCTCCTACCTGAGCAGGTGTCACTCCTGCAGGGTGGAGAGCGGCTGCTTCATGGTCTATGACCGCACTAACTACATGGGAAACCAGTTTTTTGTCAGGAGGGGAGAGTATTCAGATTACCAGCGTATGGGCATGAGTGACTGCATCAGGTCCTGTCGCACAATCCCAATGGTAAAGTAAATCTACACTTTGTAAAAATTAAAAGATGAAACTCAAACAAGTAAATCAAAATGTACTTTTCCTACCTATAGCACAGAGGCCAGTTCAGGATGAAGATCTACGAGAGAGAGAACTTTGGTGGTCAGATGCACGAGCTGATGGATGACTGTGACAACATGATGGACCGTTATCGTATGAACGACTGTCAGTCCTGCCACGTCATGGACGGCCACTGGCTGATGTACGAGCAGCCTCAGTACAGAGGAAGGATGATGTACCTGAAGCCTGGAGAGTACAGGAGCTTCAGTCAGATGGGGATGAGCGGAACAAGGTTCATGAGCATGAGACGCATCATGGACTCCTGTTATTAAAATCTTGATGTAAACAGATAGGCAAATAAAAATCTAGTTATTCCAATTACGTGTCGATACATTCATTACGTTGTGAATATTATATAGTATGCTAACAATTCAGTGGACAAAGGTAAAGAAAAAAAATCTTTAAAGATTACTTATGGCTGACTATTGATATTAACAATCTTCTCAAAATAATATACATTCCAAGAAGCATAAATAAAGGAAAACCTGAACTTTATTTTTCTGTCAGATCACATTTATTTCATTAACTTATACTTTAATGAAACACTACTACTACTACTACTACTACTACTACTTTAAATTGCAATGGGTATGTTGAAGTGCTGTCAAAATATTTGCGCCAATATTGTGTTAATTCCAACCCATTTTAACTATGTTATTTTGTTAAAATATTATAATAGTAGGGAAATCATGATTTAAAATTTGTCCCTTGCTATAACGCGGTTCACCTTTCACAGCCTCACTATTTCACACATTTATTTGTGGTTCATTTTGTGTGCTTTTTTTTCAACCGTACTGTGTACTCTCACAACATCATATAACTGCTGGTTTAACATGACAGTTACTTTTATGCGTTTGTGGCTTGTGTGATTAACTCAGACAAATAACGCGGTTTTCTCTATGATCCACAGGTTTGATATCACACTTTAGCACTCAGGAGTGGTTAGAAAACCACTAACTCCTGACTTTGCTATTTTTAGAACATAACCTCCGCGATAAACAAGAGACCACTGTATATGGGCTAGACAAAAAAACAGGGATGGTCAAATGAAACGGGAGATTGTTGAAGCAAAGTGCTTCGAAGCAGTGTGTCACAACAACAATGTACGTACAATTATGTACATACTAAAAAAAAGTATGAAACAACGGAAAATATGTGTTATATTCTGGGTTCTTCAAAGTATCACCTTTTGCTCTGATTACTGCTTCACACATTCACGACAGCAGACGGCTGTGCAGCACCTGTTGCCATGGTGGCTAGCGGCAAACGGACAAGATGTCGACCGTATGGCAGTTTATTTTGAACAAGAGTGACAAGAGTAATAATAATAACACATTTTATTTCTTAGGTGCCTTTCTTGACACTCAAGTTTGCATTACATACAAGTAAAAAAAAGTGTAAGAGTAAAGCGTAAAAGTATGTTGTGTAAAACGCAAGGCAAGGCAAGGCAAGGCAAGGCAAGGCAAGTTTATTTATATAGCACAATTCATACACAAGGCAATTCAAAGTGCTGAACAAAACAAGAAAGCATTAAAATCATAAATTATCACAGAACATTAAAAAGAAAGATAAAAATATAAAATCCCTCAGTTGTATGCACAGTTAAACAGAACCGTCTTTAACCTGGTTTTAAACATTGTCAGAGAGGAGGCCTGTCTCACATCTTCAGGAAGACTGTTCCAGATTTTAGCAGCATTAATCTGAAAAGCAGCCTCCCCATGTTTAGTTCTGACTCTGGGCACTAACAGGAGTCCAGTCCCTGTGCTCCTCAGAGTCCCAGCAGGAGTCCAGTCCCTGTGCTCCTCAGAGTCCGGGCTGGTTCATATGGGACTAACATGTCACTAATATATTTTGGTGCGAGGCTATGGAGAGACTTGTACACAAGCAGAGCTGTTTTAAAGTCTATTCTCTGAGCCACAGGAAGCCAGTGCAGAGACCTGAGGACTGGACTAATGTGGTCGTACTTCCTGGTTCTAGTCAGGACTCGAGCTGCTGCATTTTGAATGTACTGCAGCTGTTTTACAGCCTGTTTGGACAGACCTGTGAGCAGGCCATTGCAGTAGTCTAACCTACTGGAGACAAATGCATGGATAAGAATCTCCAAGTCTGCTTTAGACACTATGTTTTTGATCCTGGCAATGTTTTTTAGATGGTAAAAAGCTGCTGATGTTACTGATTTGATGTGGCTATTAAAATTTAAGTCTGAGTCCAGTATTACCCCTAGATTTCTGACCTTGTTTGAAGGTTTTAGGGAGAGAGACTGTAGGTGACAGATGACGCTCTCTCTTTGTTTCTGGGGACCAAAGACAATCATTTCAGTTTTGTCTGCGTTTAGCTGAAGGAAGTTGTTTTGCATCCACTCACTGATCTGTTGGATACAGTGAAGGAGTGAGTCCACTGGTCCATGTTCTCCTGCAGTCAGTGAGACATAGATCTGAGTGTCGTCTGCATAGTTATGATAGGAAACTTTGTTTCTGCGTATTAACTGACCTAACGGCAGCATGTAGAGATTGAACAGAAGAGGTCCCAGGATCGACCCCTGTGGTACTCCACAGGTCAGGGCCATATGATCTGAGACACAGTTTCCAATCTCCACAAAGTACTTCCTGTCTTCAAGGTAAGACCTAAACCAACTTAGGGCGGTGCCAGCGACGCCAACCCAGTCCTCTAGTCTCTGTAAGAGGATCTCATGGTCGACGGTGTCAAAGGCAGCACTTAGATCTAACAAGATTAAGATTGAGACTTTGCCTGCGTCAGTGTTCAGCCGGATATCGTTTGTAACCTTAACGAGAGCAGTCTCAGTGCTGTGGTGGGGTCTAAAGCCGGACTGAAACATATCAAATGAGTTGTTGATTATAAGAAATCTAGTAAGCTGTAGGTAGACAACTTTCTCAAGGACTTTCCCCATAAATGGCAGATTTGAGATGGGACGATAGTTGTTAAGTACCGTAGCATCCAGACTGCTCTTTTTTAGCAGGGGCCTGATGACTGCAGTTTTCAGGGCCTTTGGGAATATTCCAGAATGAAGGGACATGTTTACTATCTGTGTGAGTGAAGGTAACAGACTGCTCAGAACAGACTTCAGAAATCTAGTGGGTAGTACATCCAAGCTGCATGTGGAGGAGCTCAAACTGGAGATTATCTCTTGGACAGTTTTATCATTTACAGGTGCAAAGTGAGTTAGCTCAGAGAGCCTTTCTGGCTGTTGGATGGTTATCTGTGGATTGGAGACAATGGCGCTTTTGATGCCTTGAACCTTGTCATTGAAAAATTAGCAAACTCATTGCATTTACGTTTGGAAGTAAGCTCTAATGGCATTTGAACAGGGGGGTTTGTTAATCTATTAACTGTTGAGAACAGAACACGCAGATTGTTGCTGCAGCCTTCAATCATTTCAGAAAAATACCTTTCTCTCGTACTACGTAGCACCCGGTTAAACTCGCACAACTTATCTTTGAAGATCTCGTAATCTACCTGGAGGTTGGACTTGCGCCACTTCCGCTCGGCCCTCCGGCACTCTCTCTTTTGTGCCCTGACCGAGTCTGCTTTAGCCCACGGCGCCTTCTGCTTATTTTTCACTATTTTAACCTTCACAGGGGCAACGGTATCCAGAACATTCAAAACACTAGAGGTGACAGAGTTAAACAGTTCATCTACAGTAGAATACGATGCATTCTCAAAGTTTATCATTTCCATAAATAGTTCACTCGTATTTTCATTTATGCGCCTTCTTCGAACAGTTGCAGAGTCCACTGGTGGTTTGTTAGTGAAACACATGTCAAAAAAAACACAGAAATGATCCGAAAGAGCAACATCGACCACGTTTACATTTGAAATAATCACCCCCTTTGTAACTAACAGATCTAGAGTGTGCCCTCTGCTGTGGGTGGGGCCACTTACGTGCTGAGTGAGATCAAAGGATTCAAGTACAGAACTCAGCTCATTTGCATTTCTGTCATCAACATTATCCACATGAATATTAAAATCACCTGTAATAACTAAACTATCAAAATCTGTGCATACAACTGAAAGCAACTCTGTAAAATGATCAATAAAACTGTGACATGACTGCGGTGGCTTGTATAGGACAATGAACAGTATTGGAGGAGATTGTTTTTGTTGTATTTTAAAAGACACATATTCAAATGACGAAAACTTCCCAAGAGACATTCTATGGGAGACAAAGTGGTCTCTAAAAATGGCAGCTAAGCCTCCTCCTTTTTTGTTTTCCCGTATTTCAGATTCAAACTTGAAATTTGGTGGTGATGCTTCTATTAAAACTGCATTTTCTGAATTTTGGTCAAGCCAAGTTTCAGCCATGAACATAAGAAAGGAGACCGCCTCCTGAAAGGAGGGGTGTTGGCACGGGCCCTCTCCCTGCTCCCTGACCAATTTCGGGTCCAATGGTCCCGGCGGTCACCGCTGTGGCCCTGCAGGCGCCACCGTTGGCGACCACCGTAGACCCAAGGTCCGTCATGCGCCATACTCCCAGCCTAACTGTAGAGTATGTGGTAAGTATGGTGTAGACACTTGAAAACGACGTTTCGACCGTTTAGGTCTTCCTCAGGTGTTGTGTCTACGAGCGAACTGAGCGAATGAATGAGTGAGGAGGGTCAGAGCCGCTACTGATATAGCTGGGCTCCGCCCCCTGCGTTTCCATTGGCTCATTTCAAATTCAAAATGGTGATACTTAAAACATGTCATTTTTACTTGAACAAGGTTTTTTTTAACTTAAGAAATACTAAATAATAAAGAAGGATGAACTTTAAGGTTTTTAAATGAACTTTGTTGTACTATAATATTTTTATAGAAGGTTTTGTGAAGGTTTTTATTTGTTTTTTTGTTGTTTTTATTTATTTTTTGTTTTTTATATATATTTTTTATTTTTTATACTTTTTTTGTGTGCACCACTTGTGCTACAGATTTTTAATTCCTTTTTTCTTTGTGGTTTCTCTTTTCAGAAAAAATTAATTTGGCTGCACCCAGTGTGACAACCCCGTCCTGTGCACTTCCTGGTCTGCACCGGAGGTCCAAGTGGGGGTGAAGGTAAGGTGTGGGTCTAGTGGGTTAAGTTTAGGTGAGGGTCTAATTGGTTAAGTTTAGGTAGGAGTCTAACTGGTTAAGGTTAGGGTTAAGGTTAGGGTTAGGGTTAGGGTTAAGGTTAAGGTTAGGGTTAGGGTTAGGTGGGGGTCTAACTGGTTAAGTTTAGGTAAGAGTCTAATTGGTTAAGTTTAGGGTTTAAGGTTAGGGTTGGGGTCTAGTTAAGTCCATGGGGTGTCTTTGTTCCTAGTAATTTAATCCAGTGACTGGCTCTGTCTCTCCTCTCTGTGTCTGTCCAGGTACAATTAGCCTGGAGTCCAGAAAGCTCCAGCGCCTCCAGGCCGTGCACCAGGAAGTGAGACAGGCAGAGTGAGGAGGAGGAGGAGGAGGCCTCCCTCCTCTCCAGTGCACCCCTGAGTCTCCCCACGTGTTCCCCAAGTGATCTCCCTGTTTCTCCCACATACTGTAATTTACACTTCTTGCACCTAATCAAATAGACCACATTATGTGTCTGTGGGCCAAAGAACTGGGTCACTTTATAAAGGACACTCTTAGTCGTGTTGTGAACAAAAGTCCTTCGGATCAGAGTGTTCCCCTCCCTGTTGGGGGGTTCTGGTTCCTGGAGCGGCTTGAGTTTGGCTGTGACCAAGCGGTCCTTCAAATTCCTATTCCTCCTGTGTGCTGCAATGAATCTATGATTTGGTAAAAGTCCCTGTGTGTGAATGAATCTGTCATAATTGTCCCTGAGTCTGGGTCTCAATAACAGTGCGGTCTCTGAATAGGTGGAGATGAACGGGACCACCTCACCCTGGGGTTTGTCCTTCCTCTCCTCAAATGTGGAGAGGCAGGTTCTCAGGAAGGACCTGGAGTATCCTCTCTTCCTCAAAGCCCTGAACAAGGTATGTACTGCCTCTCTAAAGTCCTCGTCCTGTGTGCAGATGCGTTTGAAACGGATTAATTGGGATTTGACTATTCCAGCAAATATGTGTTTGGGATGGTGACTTGTCTTGTAGAGGAGGGCATGTGTGTCAGTTTCCTTGAAGTAGACTTTCAGATCTAATTTATTTGACTGATCGCATAATGGTCCTTTGAATACTGTTGTGTCCAGGAAGTCTATACTGTGGGGGCTAACTATGTGTTTAAGTTTAATTGAGGGGTCAATTGTGTTTAATTTGTTTATAAATGTTTCGAATTCCTTTTGTGAATGTGTCCAGATGCCGAATATATCATCAAGATACCTGTAGTAGGCGAGTGGCTTCCTGGGGCACTCCCCCAAGGCCCTCTCTTCCCAACATGCCATAAATATATTGGCGTAGGAGGGAGCAAAGCGTTTCCCCATAGCCGTTCCCTTGATTTGTAAGTAAAATTGTCCGTCAAACTCAAAGTCATTCCGTCTCAGGTTGATGTCCAGGAGCTGGAGGAGTTCTGAGTCTGGTCTGGTCGGGTCTGGGTATCTGGTCATCATGTTTTTTACTGCCTCAAGTCCTGCTGGGATGTCAATGTTTGTATATAAGGAGTCCACGTCCATAGTAAACAGAAAGGAGTTTTTTGGAATTGTAATGTTTTTAACTAATTCTATAAAATGATATGTGTCTTTCAAATAGGACGGGTGTCTGGTGGACAGAGGGTGGAGGTAATGCTCCAGGAACTGAGCCGTCCCATACGTCTCACTGGAACAGTCCGAGACGATGGGACGTCCCGGTGGGATCTGGAAGGGGACCGTCCACTTCTCTGGCTCCTTGTGGATCTTGGGCAGAATGTAAAAGAGCCTGGCCCTAGGCTCTTCACTCCCTCTCAGGTATTCTTTTTGTTTGGAGTCTATGTAATTTTTAGCTTGTAGTGAGTCCAGGATGCTGTCTACTAAGGGTCTTGTTTCAAAATAGATGGGGGAGTCCAATTTAGTGTAATATGTGGTGTCTTTTAATTGTCTGTTCACTTCAAATGTGTACTGGTCTCTGTCCAATATGACCGTAGCACTGCCTTTGTCTGCTGGCTTAATAACAATGTTATTGTTACTAGCCAGCTCCTTTAAGGCCTCTATCTCTTCCTGAGTGAGGTTCTGTTTAACTGTTTTTATTCTGTGATTTTTCTTTAATTCTTTCTGGTCTGCTCTAATTAGGAAAGGCATTTCTGGAGGGAGGAGTTCCTGTGGGGGGGACCACTCTGAGGTCCCTCTGAAAGGCCTGGACTGGGACGTGTCCCCATTGTTTTTGAAAAAAAGTAAAAGTTTTAGTCTCCTGTGATAATTTTGAAGGTCCAATTCTAATTGTTCTCTTTGGTTCTTTTCCAGGTCCAATGTGGGAATAAAGCTGAGCCCTCTTCCTAGTAGGCGGAGCTGAACTTCTGAGGGCTGAAAGGTCTTGGACAGAACAATAACATCCTGGGTCTCCTTTTTAGTTTCTGGCCCCCCTGTTCTTAAGCTCGTGGGGCTCTGGAGTTTAAAAAGGACACCCAGTGATTGAACATTGCCCCGGCCGTGGGTTTGGTCCAATGAATGTTGTCCGCCCTTGTGGCAAAGGTAGGTGTGGGCAGAGCTGGGACACAGTGCTCTCTCCCCTCAATCTGCTCATTCAGGTGTCGTAATGTTTCCTGTTGCTTGTGTGGCAGGTTCTTGGAATAATTTATTGAGGGAATCCAGACCTCTGCAAAGGGGAAACGCGCCTTAGCTGCACGGAGAGCTGCCTGCATTTGTTTAACCGCAGTCTCTCTGCCCCTCTGTTCCCTGTGATTTATCCCGAAGGATAACAGTATTTTCTCAACCCTGGTGTACTGGATTGCACCTGTCAGGAGGGATGCTGCGTGAGCAAAGTTTCCCCCAGGGAAGCAGTCTATTTGCAGGTCTGCAATGGAGTGAGGGGGAAGGCCCCTGATATTAGAGTCTCCAATAATGGCCCATTTTTTGTGAAAATTCAGGGTCCAGTCTGCCATTTTATTTCTTGTGGTAATGTGCACTATGGGTCTAAATGTGCTCTTCCTGTTTGTAAGAGCTGTCTCCCTGCTTAGAGTTGCTTTCCCCAAGGATTTGCTCCTGGTCTGGGGTCCCAAACTCAACTGATTTGTTGTGTTTTGGACTGTGATTGCTCGTGTTTCGAGCTGCTGTGCCCCAAGAGTCGGTACCTCTGTTTGTCCACCAGGTGGAGACATTGTTGCAGAAACCACGTCAGTCTGGCTCATTGTGTTTGCTGTGTCAATAAACTGAGTTCTTATATTTTTATTTTTTTGTGTCTTTTTTTGTGTCTGGGCTCTCATTGGTGTGAGCCTGTGCTTCTGTGGCACCAATAAAAATGTTTTTATTCTCCTCTGTCTTTGGATTCTCTGAGGTTTGGGTGCCAGTGTGGGTGGGTTATGCACTTGTACAGTCACATTTCCCACAGGTGGGGGCTGCTGTCCCGCGTCAGCAGGAGGAGAGACAGCGCTCTGCCTCTGACGTGGAACAGGTGTGAGGGACGCCCAGTCATCTGTGGCTGGCTGGGGCGGAAGTGCGTCATTCTGAGGATCCCCTGTTGTTGACATCGTCCCTGGTTCCCTGCAGGTGGAGATCATTGCCTCAGCGTGATCTATCTCATTCTGCGTGATTCTATGCAGATTCCTACGGGCCCATGAGGTGGCTATTTGGAATGCTGATTTCCAATCGTTGGGTAAGTCAGCTGCCAATTCTCTCAGAATGTCTTCCAGTTTTCCTGTGTAATGATCTTTTAGGATTATTAAAGTTGTGTGACCCCAATTCTTTGCGTTTCCGGAAATTAAATCCCGCGTTAATTGTGACGGAAGTGCAGGTTTTATCATGCTAGCCAGCTGTTCAACCATGCGCTCTATTGTTTTGGGCTGTGGTTTGTCCGGTCCTGGGGCTACACTCTGGAGGTGGTGAGTGATTTTAATCACATGGTGTAGTTTTTTGACCAGCTGTCTGACGTCAGGGTCCAGTGGTTCTTGATGGTCCTGTCCTCTGTCTCTCTGCGTCCGGGGGTAAGGTGCACGTGATGGTTGTTGTTGTTGTTGTGGTGGTCGTTGTTGTTGTGGTGGGTAAGGTCTGTCTCTCGGGTTATTTCTCCCGTACTTTTTCTTATTGTGGGGTCTCTTTTGGTAATTGTCAAAGACCCTGTCACGTGAGTTATGGGGCCTGTGATGGTGCCAGTTCCTGTCACGTGAGTCATGGGGTCTGTAGTGTTGTGTGCGGGGTCTGTGATTGTTATTATTGCTCCTGTTGTAGGAGTAGGAACCCTCCCGGGGTCTATATCTGTTAGAACGTGAGCGTGGTTTCCCATAACGCGTCACTTCTGCATATGACCTAACTCTAGGTTCTGGTTCTGGTTCCTGGTGATTGGATCTGGAGCGGAGGGGGCGAGGCACTGGCCGATAATGAGCAGTCAGTGAGACATAGATCTGAGTGTCGTCTGCATAGTTATGATAGGAAACTTTGTTTCTGCGTATTAACTGACCTAACGGCAGCATGTAGAGATTGAACAGAAGAGGTCCCAGGATCGACCCCTGTGGTACTCCACAGGTCAGGGCCATATGATCTGAGACACAGTTTCCAATCTCCACAAAGTACTTCCTGTCTTCAAGGTAAGACCTAAACCAACTTAGGGCGGTGCCAGCGACGCCAACCCAGTCCTCTAGTCTCTGTAAGAGGATCTCATGGTCGACGGTGTCAAAGGCAGCACTTAGATCTAACAAGATTAAGATTGAGACTTTGCCTGCGTCAGTGTTCAGCCGGATATCGTTTGTAACCTTAACGAGAGCAGTCTCAGTGCTGTGGTGGGGTCTAAAGCCGGACTGAAACATATCAAATGAGTTGTTGATTATAAGAAATCTAGTAAGCTGTAGGTAGACAACTTTCTCAAGGACTTTCCCCATAAATGGCAGATTTGAGATGGGACGATAGTTGTTAAGTACCGTAGCATCCAGACTGCTCTTTTTTAGCAGGGGCCTGATGACTGCAGTTTTCAGGGCCTTTGGGAATATTCCAGAATGAAGGGACATGTTTACTATCTGTGTGAGTGAAGGTAACAGACTGCTCAGAACAGACTTCAGAAATCTAGTGGGTAGTACATCCAAGCTGCATGTGGAGGAGCTCAAACTGGAGATTATCTCTTGGACAGTTTTATCATTTACAGGTGCAAAGTGAGTTAGCTCAGAGAGCCTTTCTGGCTGTTGGATGGTTATCTGTGGATTGGAGACAATGGCGCTTTTGATGCCTTGAACCTTGTCATTGAAAAAATTAGCAAACTCATTGCATTTACGTTTGGAAGTAAGCTCTAATGGCATTTGAACAGGGGGGTTTGTTAATCTATTAACTGTTGAGAACAGAACACGCAGATTGTTGCTGCAGCCTTCAATCATTTCAGAAAAATACCTTTCTCTCGTACTACGTAGCACCCGGTTAAACTCGCACAACTTATCTTTGAAGATCTCGTAATCTACCTGGAGGTTGGACTTGCGCCACTTCCGCTCGGCCCTCCGGCACTCTCTCTTTTGTGCCCTGACCGAGTCTGCTTTAGCCCACGGCGCCTTCTGCTTATTTTTCACTATTTTAACCTTCACAGGGGCAACGGTATCCAGAACATTCAAAACACTAGAGGTGACAGAGTTAAACAGTTCATCTACAGTAGAATACGATGCATTCTCAAAGTTTATCATTTCCATAAATAGTTCACTCGTATTTTCATTTATGCGCCTTCTTCGAACAGTTGCAGAGTCCACTGGTGGTTTGTTAGTGAAACACATGTCAAAAAAAACACAGAAATGATCCGAAAGAGCAACATCGACCACGTTTACATTTGAAATAATCACCCCCTTTGTAACTAACAGATCTAGAGTGTGCCCTCTGCTGTGGGTGGGGCCACTTACGTGCTGAGTGAGATCAAAGGATTCAAGTACAGAACTCAGCTCATTTGCATTTCTGTCATCAACATTATCCACATGAATATTAAAATCACCTGTAATAACTAAACTATCAAAATCTGTGCATACAACTGAAAGCAACTCTGTAAAATGATCAATAAAACTGTGACATGACTGCGGTGGCTTGTATAGGACAATGAACAGTATTGGAGGAGATTGTTTTTGTTGTATTTTAAAAGACACATATTCAAATGACGAAAACTTCCCAAGAGACATTCTATGGGAGACAAAGTGGTCTCTAAAAATGGCAGCTAAGCCTCCTCCTTTTTTGTTTTCCCGTATTTCAGATTCAAACTTGAAATTTGGTGGTGATGCTTCTATTAAAACTGCATTTTCTGAATTTTGGTCAAGCCAAGTTTCAGCCATGAACATAAGATCAAGATTATGAGAAGAAATAAAATTATTGATTAAAAAAGACTTGTTACAAAGAGATCTGACATTTAGCATAGCAAGTTTAAAAGTTTCAGGATCAGCGGTTGCGGTCGGCTGATTCTTACACGGAACAAGAATTAGATTTTCCAGATTAGACTGATTAACTCCAGATGTTTTTCTGTAATGTATTCTTTGTGTTATCACTAAGGGAATGGCACAGGTGGCTTCATGACAGGGCCCCAGCCGGGTCTCTCCTCTAACTAGACTGCCAGTGGCTGCGAAGCAGAGACCCTGTGCATCCTAGTGTTTAGAGAAAAGAGGGGAAGGGGAAGGCGGGGGAGGAGGATGGAGAGGTGGGTGGCTTTTGGGTGTTGAACGAGGGGGGCAGGGAGGTGGATGGGTTTTTGGTGATGGGTTAGGGGAGGGGCAGGCTGAGTTGGGTGGTGGACGAGGGGGGAGTGGAGGTGGAGGGTTTCTTGGTGCTGAGTTAGGGGGGGGGGAGGTGGGCTAAATGAGCAGGAGGGGGGGGTGGAATACTTATGGGGTTAGAGGAGGGACGGGTGGATTTTGTGGGAGAATTTGAGTTGGACGCCCTAGGTGGCTTTGGAGGTACGTATGGGGAGTAGTTTTGAATGTTAGATAGGACTCTTGATCTGGCTACAGTGGGTGTGAGAGGAATAGTCTTCATCGCCGATCTTATCATGCCTGCAGAGTGTTCCGGTAAATCCAGTAGTGAAGGCGGGGATAGAAAACAAAGGGAAAGGTCGTCCTCATTTTCCCTAGATGGAGTGGATGTAGCGGGGGGGACCCAAGCCGGGTCCATGGAAGGTGATGAGGGAGTCTTTGGTGGAGACAGAGGTGGTTGAGGAACCCCCAGTACAGGCCTGACTGTAGCCTGGAGTAATGGGGGAAGCTTCACGGGAGCTGTAGGTGGGGAAGGTGCTGCTGAAGATGACGGAGCAGCCACTGCTGCTGTTGAAGATGATGGAGCAGCCACTGCTGCTGCTGTATCCACTGCTGCTGGTGAAGATGATGGAGCAGCCACTGCTGCTGCTGAAGATGATGGAGCAGCCACTGCTGCGGCTGTATCCACTGCTGCTGCTGAAGATGATGGAGCAGCCACTGCTGCTGCTGTATACACTGCTGCTGCTGAAGATGATGGAGCAGCCACTGCTGCGGCTGTATCCACTGCTGCTGGTGGTGCTGTATATGCTGATGGCGCTGATGAAGATGTGGCAGCTGCTGATGATGCTGGGGGTGGAGGCGTTGAGCTCTTTCGAAGCCGTGGAGGTGTTGAGTTCTTTTGGAACCTTGGAGGTGTTGAGTTCTTCTTGAATCGTGGAGGTGTGGAGTTCTTTTGAGGCGGTGGGGGTGCAGAGACCTCGGGAGTCGGTGGAGATGGTTGTGATGTCTGTGCCCTTTGCTTCTTCTTTCTCCCTTTCAACGGCTGCACGCGCTGCGCAGGCTGAGGTCTTAGGGCAGATGCAAAGTTATCCATCAGCACTTTTACTCCGTAGTTGTTCAGATGTGGGCCTTTTTCTTCAAAAAGCTCGTGCCTATTCCAGAACAGATTAAAGTTTTCAATGAAGCCAAGTCCTCTGCGTGAACACTCATTGAGTAGGAATGTGTTTAGCTGATACAGACGGCTAAACTTCTCCATTTTTCCATCTATATTTGGCAGTGGGCCACTAAGAAAAATTGTTATGTCCATTTTCTTGAGGTCATCCAGTAACAGCGTTAAATCCATTCGTAACTTCTCGCTTGCCTTCTCATAGATATCTACCGCCCCCGTGTGGATCAATAATGTACGCACACCACTGTTCTCAGATAACACTTTAGGCAGGAGAGTTCTTATCTCAGCAACTTTAGCAGAGTGAACTGAGACAGTGAGCATGGACTCCATGTTTACATTTTTCACCGAACCATCTCCGATAAGGACACAGTTTGTCCTTGGTGGAGGCGCTGCAGTTTTTAGCAGCTTTGTTGTAGAGACTACTGCTGATTCATCTTCCAAAAGTGGTGAAAAGCGGTTTCTTGTAATTAAAGATTTTTGCTGTGGCATTATGACACTCTTGTTATCATTAGCTTTGCCTTGTTTGGGCTTGGCACCATATGTGTTCCAACAATTGTCTCTGTTGATTTTGGGAAATGAAATAGCGTCATCATAACTTACGTTCTGTCCATGTGGTCCATTTCCTTTCACTGGTATTGTTGTGTTCAGCCCCAATTCTGATTCAAGCACAAACATTCGGTCTTGAAGAAGTTTTAGCTCCTGTTTGAGTGAAAAACAGCCGTCGCAAAGTTTTGTTCTTTCCCGTCCTCCCGACATGCTGTAAGTTAGGTAAACTCCACACGTCTTGTGTTGAAGTTTGTAAAAAGGAGTAATCCGTGTTTTGTGGAATAAAAATGTAAGCAAAAATGATTAAGGGAGATAAAAAAGCAGCAAGCGAGGAGCAGCAAGAGAATGCGACTGCTCTGTCCAGAAGCAGGAAGCATTACCTTAAAATCAGTAAAATAATCTTTTGACAAAAGACATTCAGGAAAGAAATAAGTTTCCATAAAACAAGCTTCATGTATGTCTCAGTGCAGTGCTGGTCTTGTGCTGGTTTCCACATGGTTAAAAAACAAAACTGTCTCCAGGTGTGTTCAAAACAAACACGTATAACACCAACAACTTGATTGGATTCTGACAGTGGCTCTTATTGTTGACTGTTAAACAATTGCTGATATATTTAATTGTTAAAGCATTTTCTTATTGTTGAAATGATAAATAAAACATTAAAAATTTCCATTTTAATGGTTTTATGAATTCCCAGTGTAATAGACCCAGGTCCTGGGCCTGTTAGTTTGGTCAGATTATATTTGTTCCTGAAAAATACAGGATAAGGATGAGTCAGGCGTGTTTCTTTTTGTCTCGCTTCAGCCATGACCTCACTACACCTGCTCACCATACGCCACCTGCTGGCTTCAGGGTGTTATAACAACAAAAACTTCCTTATTATGAAACAAAACTAATCTAAATACTAAATAAACATAATGTGACAATACATTACTGGGTTTCACACGCTCCCTGACAAATAAAAATGGTTCCTGACATTACAAAATACAAAAGTCAAACACTTTACAACCCAAAATCTCAGTCAACATAGCATGGGTGTGGGAAAAGTCTGTGGGGCAGAAATATACGGCATGTAAGGCACAAAACCAGCACCAAATGGAAAAGAAGATGTGGTTACCCATGGTTGGTACAAATGTCCTTGTAGAAAAACGGTAAATAGCTGGCAAATATGGTTCCAGGAATCAGAATCAGAATCATTTTTATTGCCACGTAAGTAACAGGAGGTCACAGACTTGGAAATTGCTTTGGCTCAGTGCAACAGACAGAAAGAGATAATAAAAATAAGAATAAAAAACACTTCTAAGGAATACATTTAAATTTAAAATAGAGTTACAGTTACTATTAACAATATACAAGTGCACATGGTGCACACAATGTAAGGTGACAGCAGTACAGTGAAGTAAAGTGACGTATGATGGGCAGTAAAGTGACTTTATAAAGGGCGGGGGGACAGGTTAAGAAGTGTTCAAGAGTCCAACAGCAGAGGGGAAGAAACTGTTCTTGTGGCGGGAGGTTCTAGTCCTGATGGACCGCAGCCTCCTGCCTGAGGGGAGTGGTTGGAATAGTCCATGTGCAGGTGAGAGGGGAGTGGTTGGAATAGTCTATGTGCAGGTGAGAGGGGAGTGGTTGGAATAGTCCATGTGCAGGTGAGAGGGGAGTGGTTGGAATAGTCTATGTGCAGGTGAGAGGGGAGTGGTTGGAATAGTCCATGTGCAGGTGAGAGGGGAGTGGTTGGAATAGTCCATGTGCAGGTGAGAGGGGAGTGGTTGGAATAGTCCATGTGCAGGTGAGAGGGGAGTGGTTGGAATAGTCCATGTGCAGGTGAGAGGGGAGTGGTTGGAATAGTCCATGTGCAGGTGAGAGGGGTCGGCTGTGATACGACCAGCCCGGCCTCGAGCTCGGGCGACGTACAGGTCCTGCAGCGATGGAAGGCTGCGGCCGATCACTTCCTCTGCAGAGCGCACAATGCACTGTAGTCTCTGTTTGTCCCTGACTGTGGCTCCAGCGAACCACACGGTGATGGAGGAGGTGATGGAGGAGGTGATGGAGGAGGTGATGGAGGAGGTGATGGAGGAGGTGATGGAGGAGGTGATGGTGGAGGTGATGGAGGAGGTGATGGAGGAGGTGATGGAGGAGGTGATGGAGGAGGTGATGGTGGAGGTGATGGAGGAGGTGACGGAGGAGGTGATGGAGGAGGTGATGGAGGTGGTGATGGAGGAGGTGATGGAGGAGGTGATGGTGGAGGTGATGGAGGAGGTGATGGAGGAGGTGATGGAGGAGGTGATGGAGGAGGTGATGGAGGAGGTGATGGTGGAGGTGATGGTGGAGGTGATGGAGGAGGTGACGGAGGAGGTGATGAGGAGGTGATGGAGGAGGCCATCATCTGTGCAGGCAGCTTGGCTTTCCTGAGCTGCCGCAGGAAGTACATCCTCTGCTGGGCCTTCTTGATGAGGAGCTGATGGTCGGCTCCCACTTGAGGTCCTGGGTGATGGTGGTGCCCAGGAAACGGAAGGACTCCACAGAGGTGATGGGGGGGGTGATGGAGGAGGTGATGGGGGAGTCCATCACGGAGGGTGGGGGCGGGGGGACAGTGCTCTTCCTGAAGTCCACAATCATCTCCACTGTCTTCTGGGCGTTCAGCTCCAGGTTGTTACCACTGCACCAGGACACCAGCCGGTCCACCTCCCTCCTGTAGGAGACACCAGGACACCAGCCGGTCCACCTCCCTCCTGTAGGAGACACCAGGACACCAGCCGGTCCACCTCCCTCCTGTAGGAGACACCAGGACACCAGCCGGTCCACCTCCCTCCTGTAGGAGACACCAGGACACCAGCCGGTCCACCTCCCTCCTGTAGGAGACACCAGGACACCAGCCGGTCCACCTCCCTCCTGTAGGAGACACCAGGACACCAGCCGGTCCACCTCCTCCTGTAGGAGACACCAGGACACCAGCCGGTCCACCTCCCTCCTGTAGGAGACACCAGGACACCAGCCGGTCCACCTCCCTCCTGTAGGCGACACCAGGACACCAGCCGGTCCACCTCCCTCCTGTAGGAGACACCAGGACACCAGCCGGTCCACCTCCCTCCTGTAGGAGACACCAGGACACCAGCCGGTCCACCCCCCCTCCCGTAGGAGACACCAGGACACCAGCCGGTCCACCTCCCTCCTGTAGGAGACACCAGGACACCAGCCGGTCCACCGCCCTCCTGTAGGAGACACCAGGACACCAGCCGGTCCACCTCCCTCCTGTAGGCGACACCAGGACACCAGCCGGTCCACCTCCTCCTGTAGGAGACACCAGGACACCAGCCGGTCCACCTCCCTCCTGTAGGAGACACCAGGACACCAGCCGGTCCACCTCCCTCCTGTAGGAGACACCAGGACACCAGCCGGTCCACCTCCCTCCTGTAGGAGACACCAGGACACCAGCCGGTCCACCTCCCTCCTGTAGGAGACACCAGGACACCAGCCGGTCCACCTCCCTCCTGTAGGAGACACCAGGACACCAGCCGGTCCACCTCCCTCCTGTAGGAGACACCAGGACACCAGCCGGTCCACCTCCTCCTGTAGGAGACACGAGGACACCAGCCGGTCCACCTCCCTCCTGTAGGAGACACCAGGACACCAGCCGGTCCACCTCCTCCTGTAGGAGACACCAGGACACCAGCCGGTCCACCTCCCTCCTGTAGGAGACACCAGGACACCAGCCGGTCCACCTCCCTCCTGTAGGCGGACTCATCGTTGTTGGAGATGAGTCCAATGAGGGTGGTGTCGTCCGCGAACTTGATCAGCTTCACGGAGTCGTGGCTGGAGGTGCAGTGGTTGGTGTACAGGGAGAAGAGCAGGGGAGAAAGAACACAGCCCTGTGGGGCTCCTGTATTTATAATCCGAGAGTCCGAGACATTCTTCCCCAGACGCACTCGCTGCTTCCTGTCCGTCAGGAAGTCAGTGATCCACCTGCAGGTGGAATCGGGCACGTTGAGCTGGGAGAGCTTGTCCTAGAGCAGGATTGTGTTGAAGGCAGAGCTGAAGTCCACGAACAGGACCCTGGCGTCTGTTGGCTCTGTAGGCGAACTGCAGGGGGTCCAGGAGGGGGGAGGTGAGGGACTTGAGATGGGAGAGAACCAGGCGTTCAAATGACTTCATGACGACAGACGTAAGTGCTACAGGTCTGTAGTCATCGAGTCCTGTGATCCTGGGCTTCTTCGGGACGGGGACAATGATGGAGGATTTGAAGCAGGCCGGGACATGGCAGGACTGCAGAGAGGTGTTGAAAATGTCAGTGAACACAGGAGTAAGCTCACTGGGGCAGTGTCTCAGAGTGGCCGGAGACACGTGGTCCGGGCCAGGAGCTTTGCGGAGGTGCAGCCTCAGGAAGAGTTGTTTAATCTCTTTAGCGGCTATTGTTAGGCTGGGGGCAGGGCTGATGGGTGGGTCGTTAGAGTAGTGGGGGGAGGGAGAGGTGTCAGGGGCAGCATCAAAGCGACTGAAAAATAAGTTCAGTTCGTCAGCTAGCTTGTGGTCGTCAGCACAGGGGGGGGCTTTGGGTTTGTAGTTGGTGATCTCCCGTAGGCCCCTCCAGACAGAAGCAGTATCGTTGTTACCAAACTGCTCCTGTAGTCGTTCTCTGTGCCGGGACTTGGCTGCTTTCAGTTCTTTCCTGAACTGATATTTAGCTGCTTTGTAGCCGCTGCGGTCCCCCTCCCTGAAAGCAGACTCCTTTGCTTTCCTGAGCTGCCGGAGTTTAGCAGTGAACCAGGGTTTGTCGTTGTTATAGATGACCCTGGTCCTTGTTGGAATGATGCTATCCTCACAAAAGTGGATGTATGACGTCACAGTGTCCGTATATTCATCCAAGCTGTCTGTGGCAGCTCTGAAAAGGTCCCAGTCTGTAGATTCCATGCATGCGCGCAGCTCTTCCACAGCTTCATCAGACCACACTTTGGAGCTCCTCACTGCAGGTTTCGAGAGCTTTAGTCTCTGTCTGTAAGCAGGAACCAGATGTATCATGGAGTGATCTGAGAAGCCGAGGGCTGCCTTGGGAACAGCGCGAAAAGCTCTGCGCACGGTGGTGTAACAGTGATCCAGAGTGTTCTCCTCTCTGGTCGGGCATTTGATAAACTGTCTGTATTTGGGTAATTCCTGGCTCAAATTTCCCTTATTAAAATCCCCCAGGATAATAATCAGAGAGTCCGGGTATAAACGTTCCATACACAGTACTTGCTCTGCGTCCGCGCATGGCGGTATGTAAACAGAGGCAAGAATGAATGAAACAAACTCACGAGGAGAGTAAAATGGTTTACAATGAATGAAAAGATATTCCAGAGCAGGAGAGCAGTGCTTGGAGATCACTGTCACATGGTTACACCAGTTTGTATAGACGTAGAAACACAGCCCACCGCCTCTGCTCTTCCCTGAGAGCGCACAATGGCGATCCGTGTGGAACAGCCCAAAGCCCTGCAGCTCCAGAGCGCAGTCCGGGATCCGCATCCTCATTTAGCCAGGTCTCAGTGAAGCAGAGGACACAGAGGACACCAGGTCTCAGTGAAGCAGAGGACACAGAGGACACCAGGTCTCAGTGAAGCAGAGGACACAGAGGACACCAGGTCTCAGTGAAGCAGAGGACACAGAGGACACCAGGTCTCAGTGAAGCAGAGGACACAGAGGACACCAGGTCTCAGTGAAGCAGAGGACACAGAGGACACCAGGTCTCAGTGAAGCAGAGGACACAGGAGGAAGTCCTTGTTTCTTCTCATGAGCAGGCTGAGTTCGTCTTATTGCCCAGTGAGCGTACGTTGGACAGAAAAATGACAGGGAGAGCCGTGCTCCTCTCCTCCTCAGATGCACGAGCAGCCTCCGCGCTTTCCCCTTTTACGGGCCCACACTTTTTTGGCTAGAACATGAACTAAATCAGCCGCAGGTGTAGGAACAGCCAGATGCACAGTTAAAAAGTAAAAACAAAAGAAAAAGAGAGCAGCAAAGAGCCATGTCGACCGTACGAGGCGCCATCTTAAAGTACCGTCCAATTTACCATTGCTAATTTTAACGGAGACTGTTTCACTGAATCACATTTTGCCTTTGTGATTTCAGGATTTAACTGTATGTTCCTGTTAATTCACATACAACAAAAACAACATTATAATGTTAATGTTGTATTATTACACCATTTGACTGTTTCTGTTTCTAATTAGTTTCATTGAACAAAAAACTACACATTTTAATTTGAACACAACTTTTGAATTATTTTTTAACATTTTCAGTTTATACAAGAAAGCAGTTGAAAACTTTACTTCTATAACATGCTTATGTGTGATTACACAATGTGATTATTAATCACATTGTGATTTTATGGTATTGTAACGGTTTTTTGTAATCACATTATAATTGTGGTAATAAAACGCCACTGGATGTTTTTTAACCAATTTATACTTAAATTTGCATGTTTGAGTCGTTTTTCAAAATAACATTTGTTTAATGTTGAAATTTCATTGTAATTTTACAGAAATGTGTTACAGTGTACGGTGAAAGGGTGGAAACCATGGCTTGTGGTTGAAGGGTAGGTTCACCAAGTGACTGGTAGGTAAACACTTGCCTCGGTCTCCTTTCTCTATTTGACCTCCTTCCTTCAGCCTGTAGGTCAACTGGTGTCTGCGGAAGTTCTGGAGGCATGAAAACATAAGCTCCTTCGCTTTCCTCTCCAGAATGAGTTGTTGGGGCTGATACCACAGGAACAGGAGGGCTCTGTGGCACATGGCGGCCTCGTTCAGTCTGTAAGTGTCCTTCTGGCGCACTGGTTCATCAGTGTCTTTTACTGGCAACAGAAAGCGTTACTCGTGTTCTCAGGGGCTTGGCTTGTCAGTGGCAAGTCAGGTTGGCTAAAGTCAGTAAAAGAAATGATAAATAAAACATTTAATAGTTTTATGAATTCCCAGAGATAACACAAGGCAGTACTCGTATCAGTAAGTATTCAAATGAAGGTACTCGTATCTGTAAGTATTCAAATGAAGGTACTCGTATCTGTAAGTATTCAAATGAAGGTACTCGTATCTGTAAGTATTCAAATGACGGCACCCTGCTCATGGACTATTCCAACCTCTCCCCTCTCACCTGCACATGGACTATTCCAACCTCTCCCCTCTCACCTGCACATGGACTATTCCAACCTCTCCCCTCTCACCTGCACATGGACTATTCCAACCTCTCCCCTCTCACCTGCTCATGGACTATTCCAACCACTCCCCTCTCACCCTGCACATGGACTATTCCAACCTCTCCCCTCTCACCTGCACATGGACTATTCCAACCTCTCCCCTCTCACCTGCTCATGGACTATTCCAACCTCTCCCCTCTCACCTGCACATGGACTATTCCAACCTCTCCCCTCTCACCTGCACATGGACTATTCCAACCACTCCCCTCTCACCTGCACATGGACTATTCCAACCTCTCCCCTCTCACCTGCTCATGGACTATTCCAACCACTCCCCTCTCACCTGCACATGGACTATTCCAACCACTCCCCTCTCACCTGCACATGGACTATTCCAACCACTCCCCTCTCACCTGCACATGGACTATTCCAACCACTCCCCTCAGGCAGGAGGCTGCGGTCCATCAGGACTAGAACCTCCCGCCACAAGAACAGTTTCTTCCCCTCTGCTGTTGGACTCTTGAACACTTCTTAACCTGTCCCCCTGCCCTCTAGAAGTCCCCTCACTGCCTTTTATAACGTCACTTTACTGCTGTCACCTTATATTGTGTGCAGCATGTTTTGTGCACTTGTATATCATATATAGTAATTGTAATACAGTAATTCTATTTTAAATGTTATTCCTTAGAAGTGTTGCTGATTTCTTTTGTTTTTATTATTATGCCTTCTCTACTCTTTACCTCTACAACCGCTGATCCTGAAACTTTTAAACTTGCTATGCTAAATGTCAGATCTTTTTGTAACAAGTCTTTTTTAATCAATAATTTTATTTGTTCTTATAATCTAGATCTTATGTTCATGGCTGAAACATGGCTTGACCAAAATACAGAAAATGCAGTTTTAATAGAAGCATCACCACAAAATATCAAATTTGAATCTGAAATACGGGGAAACAAAAAAGGAGGAGGCTTAGCTGCCATTTTCAGAGACCACTTTGTCTCCCATAGAATGTCTCTTGGGAAGTTTCCGTCTTTTGAATATGTGTCTTTTAAAATACAACAAAAACAATCTCCTCCAATACTCTTCATAGTCCTATACAAGCCACCGCAGTCATGTCACAGTTTTATTGATCATTTTACAGAGTTGCTTTCAGTTGTATGCACAGATTTTGATAGTTTAGTTATTACAGGTGATTTTAATATTCATGTGGATAATGTTGATGACAGAAATGCTAAAGAGCTGAGTTCTGTTCTTGAATCCTTTGATCTCACTCAGCACGTAAGTGGCCCCACCCACAGCAGAGGGCACACTCTAGACCTGTTAGTTACTAAGGGGGTGAACATTTATAATGTAAACGTGGTCGATGTTGCTCTTTCGGATCATTTCTGTGTATTTTTTGACATGTGTTTCACTAACAAACCACCAGTGGACTCTGCAACTGTTCGAAGAAGACACATAAATGAAAATACGAGTGAACTATTTATGGGAATGATAAACTTTGAGAATGCATCGTATTCTACTGTAGATGAACTGTTTAACTCTGTCACCTCTAGTGTTTTGAAAGTTCTGGACACCATCGCTCCTGTGAAGGTTAAAATAGTGAAAAATAAGCAGAAGGCGCCGTGGGCTAAAGCAGACTCGGTCAGGGCACAAAAGAGAGAGTGCCGGAGGGCCGAGCGGAAGTGGCGCAAGTCCAACCTCCAGGTTGATTACAAGATCTTCAAAGATAAGTTGTGCGAGTTTAACCAGGTGCTACGTAGTACGAGAGAAAGGTATTTTTCTGAAATGATTGAAGGCTGCAGCAACAATCTGCGTGTTCTGTTCTCAACAGTTAATAGATTAACAAACCCCCCTGTTCAAATGCCGTTAGAGCTTACTTCCAAACGTAAATGTAATGAGTTTGCACATTTTTTCAATGACAAGGTTCAAGGCATCAAAAACGCCATTGTCTCCAATCCACAGATAACCATCCAACAGCCAGAAAGGCTCTTTGAGCTAACTCACTTTGCACCTGTAGATGATAAAACTGTCCAAGAGATAATCTCCAGTTTGAGCTCCTCCACATGCAGCCTGGATGTACTACCCACTAGATTTCTGAAGTCTGTTCTGAGCAGTCTGTTACCTTCACTCACACAGATAGTAAACATGTCCCTTCATTCTGGAATATTCCTAAAGGCCCTGAAAACTGCAGTCATCAGGCCCCTGCTAAAAAAGAGCAGTCTGGATGCTACGGTACTTAACAACTATCGTCCCATCTCAAATCTGCCATTTATGGGGAAAGTCCTTGAAAAAGTTGTCTACCTACAGCTTACTAGATTTCTTATAATCAACAACTCATTTGATATGTTTCAGTCCGGCTTTAGACCCCACCACAGCACTGAGACTGCTCTCGTTAAGGTTACAAACGATATCCGGCTGAACACTGACGCAGGCAAAGTCTCAATCTTAATCTTGTTAGATCTGAGTGCTGCCTTTGACACCGTCGACCATGAGATCCTCTTACAGAGATTAGAGGACTGGGTTGGCGTCGCTGGCACCGCCCTTAGTTGGTTTAGGTCTTACCTTGAAGACAGGAAGTACTTTGTGGAGATTGGAAACTGTGTCTCAGATCATATGGCCCTGACCTGTGGAGTCCCACAGGGGTCGATCCTGGGACCTCTTCTGTTCAATCTCTACATGCTGCCGTTAGGTCAGTTAATACGCAGAAACAAAGTTTCCTATCATAACTATGCAGACGACACTCAGATCTATGTCTCACTGACTGCAGGAGAACATGGACCAGTGGACTCACTCCTTCACTGTATCCAACAGATCAGTGAGTGGATGCAAAACAACTTCCTTCAGCTAAACGCAGACAAAACTGAAATGATTGTCTTTGGTCCCCAGAAAAAAAGAGAGAGCGTCATCTGTCACCTCCAGTCTCTCTCCCTAAAACCTTCAAACAAGGTCAGAAATCTAGGGGTAATACTGGACTCAGACTTAAATTTTAATAGCCACATCAAATCAGTAACATCAGCAGCTTTTTACCATCTAAAAAACATTGCCAGGATCAAAAACATAGTGTCTAAAGCAGACCTGGAGATTCTTATCCATGCATTTGTCTCCAGTAGGTTAGACTACTGCAATGGCCTGCTCACAGGTCTGTCCAAACAGGCTGTAAAACAGCTGCAGTACATTCAAAATGCAGCAGCTCGAGTCCTGACTAGAACCAGGAAGTACGACCACATTAGTCCAGTTCTCAGGTCTCTGCACTGGCTTCCTGTGGCTCAGAGAATAGACTTTAAAACAGCTCTGCTTGTGTACAAGTCTCTCCATGGCCTCGCACCAAAATATATTAGTGACATGTTAGTCCCATATGAACCAGCCCGGACTCTGAGGAGCACAGGGACTGGACTCCTGCTGGGACTCTGAGGAGCACAGGGACTGGCCTCCTGCTGGGACTCTGAGGAGCACAGGGACTGGACTCCTGCTGGGACTCTGAGGAGCACAGGGACTGGACTCCTGCTGGGACTCTGAGGAGCACAGGGACTGGACTCCTGCTGGGACTCTGAGGAGCACAGGGACTGGCCTCCTGCTGGGACTCTGAGGAGTACAGGGACTGGACTCCTGCTGGGACTCTGAGGAGCACAGGGACTGGACTCCTGCTGGGACTCTGAGGAGCACAGGGACTGGACTCCTGCTGGGACTCTGAGGAGCACAGGGACTGGACTCCTGCTGGGACTCTGAGGAGCACAGGGACTGGACTCCTGCTGGGACTCTGAGGAGCACAGGGACTGGACTCCTGCTGGGACTCCGAGGAGCACAGGGACTGGACTCCTGCTGGGACTCTGAGGAGCACAGGGACTGGACTCCTGCTGGGTCTCTGAGGAGCACAGGGACTGGCCTCCTGCTGGGACTCTGAGGAGCACAGGGACTGGACTCCTGCTGGGACTCTGAGGAGCACAGGGACTGGACTCCTGCTGGGACTCTGAGGAGCACAGGGACTGGCCTCCTGCTGGGACTCTGAGGAGCACAGGGACTGGACTCCTGCTGGGACTCTGAGGAGCACAGGGACTGGACTCCTGTTAGTGCCCAGAGTCAGAACTAAACATGGGGAGGCTGCTTTTCAGATTCATGCTGCTAAAATCTGGAACAATCTTCCTGAAGATGTGAGACAGGCCTCCTCTCTGACAATGTTTAAAACCAGGTTAAAAACTGTGCTGTTTAGCTGTGCTACAACTGAGGGATTTTATATTTTTATCTTTCGTTTTAATGTTCTGTAATTATTTATGATTTTAATGCATCTTGTTCAGCACTTTGAGTTGCCTTGTGTATGAATTGTGCTATACAAATAAACTTGCCTTGCCTTGCCTACCTCTCTTTCTGACTGTTGCACTGAGCCAAAGCAATTTCCAAGTCTGTGACTTCCTGTAACTTACGTGGCAATAAAAATGATTCTGATTCTCTTTGTCGCTCTGTTGGTCTTAGATGTCTTTGTAGGCACACTTTTTATATTAGTTGATATTAGCCTTTATTGTCTCATGTGTCCAGACAGAAAATGTTCTGACTAGCAATTAACAAGGGACAAAAAACGAAACAAGAAGACTTAGGCACCAAACAGAAATAAGAATTCCACAAGATTGTCAATTATAAATACATTTATTCAAATAATTTAAACAGTTCAGCACATGTCAGTAATGCGTCTCATGCTCATGAATCTCATTCCACTCATTCCCAAATTCATGAAGCTCCTGTACTCTCCGGGTCTGAAGTACATCATCCTTCCTCTGTACTGAGGCTGCTCGTACATCAGCCAGTGGCCGTCCATGACGTGGCAGGACTGACAGTCGTTCATACGATAACGGTCCATGATGTTGTCACAGTCATCCATCAGCTCGTGCATCTGACCACCAAAGTTCTCTCTCTCGTAGATCTTCATCCTGAACTGGCCTCTGTGCTGTAATATAAGTTTTTTTTTATCATAAGAACATTTACAGAAGCAGTTTGTTAATAGATTTAGAGACTTACATAAGGGATCATTCTGCAAGATCTAATAGAGTCAAACATCATGCCCATACTCATCATGCGCTGCATGTCAGCATACTCCCCTCTCCTCATGAAAAACTGCATCCCCATGTAGTTGGGACGCTCGTAGACCATGAAGCAGCCGCTCTCCACCCTGCAGGACTGACACCTGCTCAGGTAGGAGGACATGTCAGAGCAGTCGCTCATGCACTCATATGAGCGGCCCTGGAAGTTACGCTCCTCGTAGAAGATGATCTGATAAAAAGAAAGATTCAAAAACAAACTTACAAACTGAACCTAAAAATAGGAATATGCACATGAATTATACCTTGCCCATGGTGGTGGTTTAGGGTGTTGCCAGTAGATGGTTCAACCTGCTCTGCCAACATCATGATACTCCAGCCTTTTATACAAAATCCGAGGGCCCATGATGTGTTGTTATTCAAATGTGTAAAGCTGATGAATTAGCAGTACTACTTTTGCTGAACGAGGTCTATAAATGTGTAACAATGCATCTCTCTCCATACATTTCTGGCAGCAGTCATGTGCATTGTCTAGTACAGCAATGAGCATTGTGTGTTTTCTATTCTCAGTGAGAAGGTTCTTTGTCATGTACAGTCAGATAACTGCTGTTGAATTGCTTGCGATCTGTCTCCCAAATCTAATAATCAAAGCTAAATAAAAAAAATGTGTCATGTAATGTTAGATATGTACAGAGGAATATATACAACTGACAGTTTAAATAGGTTTGAATACATACAATGTAGTTTACACACCATATCTAGGATTAATTTATATTATTGGATGTAAATAGATATAGGCACAAAGTACAATAAATATTTACATTTCCGGGAGGGATGTATCTGGTTATAGCAAAAGTGTTTGTATCCACCTGTAGTCCCTGGGCTTGCAGTCGTTGTGGCTAAATTTAAATACCAAGCATTTATCAAAAAAGGCTTTACATTCACCACAATAAAAAATATATTTTGCAATCACCACAATCAGCATACTATCATCTTTCAGTGTCTCACACGAACAGGATCCAAAGACAGTGTTTCTTTTAGGGATACTGCACTTGCTCACACTGTGGAAGAAAAATGCTGTGTTAACCAACAAGATTAACGTTTTTATCACAGCAGTGGATAATATTCTATCAAATTCAGATTCATTTATTATATCATTTATGAATGTGTCTTGGAGCAGGCTGGACAGACATAACATGCAACACAGACAATACACACATTAACATTTACACAACAATGAGTTCTTAAACCTTGTTGCTTTTGCACAGTGGACCCTGTACCTCCCAGAATGCATCAGTTCATATGAGTAGAGAACATGGAGTCTCTGATGATGATCTTGGTCTAATCCCGTACTGAGGTGTGATCATAGTGGACAGCCACACGCCCATGATCTTCTCGGTTTTTGCAGTCTCTGGATCTAAGATATTTCACCGTGAAGTCACCAAACCAGTTCATTATTCCATATCTCAAAACAGATTCAACACTGGCTCCAAACACTCTTCGCCTACGGAGAAAGTACAACCGCAGGTGGATCTTTTTACAGATGGTAGACATATCTTAAGACGGTTTGTCTAAAGTTAAGATATATACAGAGTACATCATCAGATTTTCAAAGCTAATGTGATACTTTCTAAAAGTGTGGCAGTGATGGTGTTGATAAATTTTCTCACCATGAAGCTAAACAGAATTTGGATGAATGTCTGTATCCAACATGTCGTGCAGAAAACATGAGTGGACCTAAACTCCTGAAACTCACTATATTATGAACAGCTGCATAGGTAGATCAGATAAAATACCTATACCTATATATATATATATATATATATATATATACCTATACAGTCTAACAATAGAACAAAGCAAACGTAATATCATAAAATGTTACAATCTTTGGGACTAGAATACTAACTATTTTTCAACGAGCCAAAGTGGAAATGGTTATTAGCTAAGATTGTACACGTATATTATAAAACTGTACTTACCAAATAAGAAGGACAGACAATGAATGTTATTTTGTCTTCTCCAAACTTTCAGGTTGTGATTATAATGACTTATGTTATATGTGCAAACAGCTCATTAGCAGTTTCCCGTAGTTAGCTTTGACAACAGTCGGTTTCAGCCACACAACTTTAAAGACTTTATCAGAGAAACACTCACTGAAGTCCACGTCATCCAGATGTCTTCTGTCTTCAGAATGCATGGTAGGTTACCCATGGTACGTTACCCATGGTACGTTACAGGGCTGTGCGTCACCCATGGTACGTTACCCCATGGTACGTCACCCATGGTACGTTACCCCATGGTACGTTACCCCATGGTACGTTACCCATGGTACGTTACCCCATGGTACGTTACCCCATGGTACGTTACCCCATGGTACGTTACCCCATGGTACGTTACCCATGGTACGTTACCCCATGGTACGTTACCCATGGTACGTTACCCCATGGTACGTTACCCATGGTACGTTACCCCATGGTACGTTACCCCATGGTACGTTACCCCATGGTACGTTACCCATGGTACGTTACCCATGGTACGTTACCCCATGGTACGTTACCCATGGTACGTTACCCCATGGTACGTTACCCATGGTACGTTACCCCATGGTACGTTACCCCATGGTACGTTACCCCATGGTACGTTACCCCATGGTACGTTACCCATGGTACGTTACCCCATGGTACGTCACCCATGGTACGTTACCCATGGTACGTTACCCCATGGTACGTTACCCATGGTACGTTACCCCATGGTACGTTACCGCGCGGTAATTCTCCAAAAGAAAATATACATGCCGCGACTATCCGCCATTTTACAGTCGGTTTCAGCTCAAGGAAGAATCGGCTGCAGAATGATACTAGTTGACGTAAATAATACTTTGATATTAATGACAAACAGGCAACTGTATTCACATAATCATTATTATTATCTATTTCTTTTATTGATATTATTATGATCAATATTAGTATATTTCGATTCTTTTTCTTCTTTATCCCATTTAAGGTTATCCATGTGTCACCCAGAGGCATACAATAGAACCAAACCATATGTTTCAATGTTCCATGGTCTAACAAGAACAATAACAAGAATTTTTATTATTATTATTATTATTATGAACAGCGTTGTGTGTAACTCAGTTACAAAGTTATTGTAATTAGATTACTTTTTAAGTCGTGTAACATATTACTTATTAGATTACAGTTACTATGAATAAAACTCATTAGATTTTTGCTTTGAAAACTATTGCTTGAAAAGGCAAACAGGGCTTCATTATGAACCATGATCAGATCAACAGACGGAGATTTATACATTTTTAATAAAACCCAATGTTATTCATTTTCTCACAAAAGTATTTCAAAAGTAATGTAACTGTGTTACTTTCCTGCAGCTGTAACTTGAAATTACTCATATGTAGATAATTACCTTATAAAGTAACTAACCCAACAGTATTTATCATTGTTGTAGTAGTAGTAGTAGTAGTAGTAGTAGTAGTGGTGGTGGTGGTGGTAGTAGTAGTATATATTTTTTAATTCTACTAATTCAGTTTACTATATAGAAATATAACACTTGGACAAAGATTTTAAAAATTCAACATCTTTAATAAACAAAATGTTTTATATTTACAGCAAGATTTGCTTAGGCTTAGGAATGGCTAAAACTCTGTGACCCTCCGGAAGGACCCCACTATGGCGCAGGTGGCACACCAGTCGCGGTACCTCCTGTACTCTCCAGGCCTAAGGAAGTACTGTCTTCCCCGGTAGTTGGGATACTCGTAGAAGATCCAGAAACCATTCATGACGTTACTGGAGTAAACATGACGGTGATGGAAACGGTCAGACACACACGGACAGTCATCCATAAACTCCATCATATGACCGCTGAAGTCTGGTTTCTCATAGATTCGCAATCTGTAGGAGCCACGATACTTTTGGGACAACAAACGAAAATACATAAAAATAACAATCTAAATGAATAATATTACAATATTATTATGCTATTATAATGTGTGTTTCTCACCAATGGAATCATCCGGCAAGAGCGAATACAGCTACTGAACCCCATCCATCGCTGATAGTCTGGATATTCTCCTCTCCTCATGAAATACTGGTGACCCATAAAGTTGGGCCGCTCATAGATCATGAAGCAGCCGCTTTCAACTCTGATTGAGTTGCAGCGGCTGAAGTACGAATGAAGGTCTGTGCAGTCATTGCTGCACTCATAGCTCCGGCCTTGGAAGTTCTTGTCCTCGTAAAAAATTATCTGATGAAAAATATATAAATTAAGAAATCTGCTAATTTCATTAAATTTATATTAAACTTAAACATGAAATCCAAAATACACCTCATTGACACAGAGAGAAAACTGTACTCACCTTGCCCATGGTCTCCGTTGGAGAGATTCCCCATGTTTTCAGGCCTTTTTATAGTACCGTTTGACAAACAAAGCATTGTTATTCAAATGTCCCCTCAGAGTTATAATTGAAGGCTACTAGCACATGTTTACCTTTTTGTTAGAAGCAACATTGGGCCAGAAATATGGATTTGTACCTGAAAAGAGAAAAGAGATAAATAATTAACATGTTTGGTGTTTTGACATGCATGGACAAAGGAAAACCCTAGTATAGTATCCACACATCCTGGGGACAATAGCCCAGAACAATATGGAACAACCTTGTGGCATTAAATAAGTGCGCAGCAGAGCAGCAGGCCACTCTCTCAGGCCACACGCCGCCTTAGCTAACCACATATGCAAATACGTAAGTGTAACGTCTGTTGGCTATTTTGAAAGAAAATTGTCATTTTTAATTATTTAATGTCATAATAAATATTTAAATATTATTATTCTTGATATTGTTTTTTAATTATACAGTTTTGTATGTGTGCATTTGGAAATTTATGTCACAGAATTTCAAAGTGATGTGTCTTTACTGAAACAAATACGATTCACGATTGCAGGGAAAATATTTAGTAAAAATAAATGGCACAATATCTAAGATAAGATAAAAGAGCTGTATGGAAAGATAAACTTTATAAAGCATTTTGTGTGAGTGCGGGTGTGTGTGTGTGTGTATTTGTGCAGGTGTGTGTGTGTATTTGTGTGTGTGTGTATTTGTGTGTGTGTGTTTATTTGTGCAGGTGTATGTGTGTATTTGTGCGGGTGTGTGTGTGGGTGTGTGTGTGTTTATTTGTGCGGGTGTGTGTGTGTATTTGTGCAGGTGTGTGTGTGTATTTGTGTGGGTGTGTGTATTTGTGTGTGCAGTGTAAAGTAAAGAAAGCAAAAACACACACTATACTAGTTTGTTTGTGTTATCACAGTTTATTTCATGAGCTCATACAAATCACACTACAGAATATTTCTGTTTATTCAGGGAGTTTATTGTTTTGACAAAAGACAATCATTTTGGCTTTAGTTAAAATCTGTGATTCTTCTGATAGAACCCACCCTTGGGCTGAAGCCTCCCCAGTCGCTGTACCTTCTGTACTCTCCAGGCCGGAGGAAGTACATGCGGCCCTTGTAGTTGGGTTGGTCGTACAGCAGCCAGTAGCCGTCCATCACACTGCAGGAGTTGAAATCAGACATGCTAAGCTGCTCTTGTATGTTTGGGGAATCTTCCGACAGCTCATGCATCTGGCCTGACATGTCGTAGCGCTCATACAGCCTCAGTTTGTAGGGTCCTCGATGCTGGTAAAGAAGAATCATTAATAAATATATAATTTATTATAAATGAATGTCAATGTGACAAACTGCAGTACCGGTGGAATCATGCGGCAGGATCGCACACAGTCATTCATGCCGATCACTCGCTGGTTATCAGAGTACTCTCCTCTTTTCAGGTAGTACTGGTTTCCCATGTAGCTGGGTCGCTCATAGACCATGAAGCAGCCGCTCTCCACCCTGATGGAGTTACATCTGTTGAAGTATGAGTGGAGGTCGGCACAGTCACTGCTGCACTCATGAGATCTCCCCTGGAAGTTTCTGTCTTCATAGAAAATTATCTGTAAAAGGAAAAATATTTGAAGTAAAATTGGAGCTTGCCATTATTCATATTTTTTATTTTAGAAATTCACCTTTCCCATGATGTGTTGTGTTCAGGTGGCTTGTGAACAGTACAGTGAGCCAAGCTTTATAAAAAAGGAAGAGTAAGCAGCTCTGTGATTGCACAGCATAAAGTATTGTCATTCAAATATATCGCTCGCAGGTCGATGGATCATGGGTGGAGCTTCATGTTTTGTGTGAAATATGGTGTGTTTGCTCTTATACAAGGTTCACATTTTTATCCATAAATAATCCATAACTAACATCAATCCTGATTCTTTAGGTTAACAGTAGTATTGTGTATGCTCTTTATTATTATTATCATTAATCAATAATTATAAATGAATATTGACAGTCACATATACGTTTTATTTTTATAAATGGAAGCAATGGGAAGATTCACAATTTGCCAAAGTGGATTTAATGAGTGAAATCACTTTCACTGTAAACAATCATGAATTGCATGTGATGCGTTTGATGGAGCCCACCCTTGCAGAGCGGCTGCCCCACTCACTGAACCTCTTGTACTCTCCCGGCTGGATTAGGTACATCCTTCCACAGTAGTCTGGGTCTTCATAGAAGAGCCAGTTGCCGTCTGTGACATTACAAGAAAAAATGTCTTTGATGTGGAAGCGTTCCATGACGCTGGGACAGTCATCCTCCAGGTTCATAATCTGTCCTCCAAATTCAATGCGTTCATAAAGGCACACGTTAAACGCCCCTCGCTCCTTACAAAGACACATGAAGCACAGGTGAAGCGGTGTTCACACGCCAACAACAAAGTCAATTCAAAAAGAGGCATACCACTTGGATCAAGCGACAAGCGCTCACGGCTCCAGAGGGTCCCATCCGGGCGTGGATGTCGGGGTACGCCCCACTCTTCAGGCAGTACTGATTTCCAGTGAAGTTGGACTTTGTATAGATCATGAAGCAGCCGTGTGTTACTCTGATGGAGCTGCAATGGTTAATGTAGCTCTGTACATCAGGACAATCACCGCTGCACTCATAATGACGTCCACAAAAGTGTGTTTCCTCAAAGAAGATGATCTGAAATCATAACAACTTCTAGTTTCTCACAATCTAACTTGTAGTACTATGTAGTTCCTAAAATATGTTTTAAAAAGTTAAAATGTAACTATAAAATATGGTTTGCATTCTGTCTATGTTGCTGAAATAATGAAATAATAAATAATTTAAATATATATACCTTACCTTTCCCTTTGTGTCCTCCTCACAGCCCATGTTGCTCACTGAGTATGACCCATTTACTTCTGGAGAGAGAACCTGGCATTTATAGACAAAATGGATAATGCAGACTCTGCAAAGTAATTCATGTCATAATATTCAAGAATAGCCTTTAGGATAGGAAAGTTGTTGTGATTGTTTATCCAATAAGTCATCTCTTTCTAGCTCTCATGTAAATGTACAAACTGATGAATAGACACACACTTTTATATAACCTGTACACTCATATTTCATATCTATGTGAATATAAATATATATGTATTCCTTAATGTATTATATACATATATACAAGAATACATCCAATCCAATTTTGCATGTTACTGTAGTTTTATTCAGCGTGCGATACACTGCATAAAGGAGAAGCTTGACTAAATTAGTTTTTGTGATCCTTAAAGATCCTTTAGACGTCTGATGGATCCCATCTTGGAGCTGTAGCCATTCCAGTCATTGAAGCTCTTATACTGGCCTGGTCGGAGGTAGCAGTGGCGCCCTCTGTAGTGAGAGTGCTCGTACACCAGCCAGTGGCCCTCCACATTACACGAGTTGAAATTTGACACATGAAAGCGGTTCATGAGGTTGGTGCAGTCTTCTGAAAGCTCCATCATTGTCCCGCTCATGTCAAAATGTTCATACAGTCTGAGTCTGAAGGAACCATTGTGCTGAGAAAAGACAGGTCACAGTCAATATAGATCAGTCGGTTTTATTTTGTTTGTATTTATTTGTAATGATTGTTGAGAGGAAATCAGATTATTTTTCTAAGTCTGTATAAGTCTTACCACAGGGATCATACGGCAGGACCTGACACAGTCCGTCATGCCTGTCATACTGATGTAGTCTGAATAGTCTCCTCTCCTCATGAAGTGCTGGTGTCCCATGTATCCAGGGCGGTCATAGATCATGAACATGCCGCTCTCCACTCGAATAGAGCGACAGTGGTCAAACATCGTGTGGAGATCAGTGCAGTCACTCGTAAACTCGTAGTGACGACCCCCAAAGTTTCTGTCCTCATAGAAAATTATCTAAAATAATCAGTGTAAAGTGCAAAAGTGTAAAGTGCAAGTGGTTCCAATTTGCAGTTTAGAATTAGAGTGAAGGAGGAACTAAGAGGATGTTACCTTTCCCATTCTGTTAGCAGCTTTGGCAACGACTGTGAACAGTTTTATGCATGTTTTATACCCGGAAAAGAGTTGGAAATGGTTTTGTTATTATGTTGAGTGTCAGCACGGACTGTGCAGGAGTCCTCCCCTGTTTGTCTGGTTTCTAGTAAGCACTAGGTCTACTACATGGGCTGCAAAACATATGGCTCCTTTGAATTTCAACAATTGTACACGTTTATCATGATTTACAAACTAATAATATAACAATTGGTGTATTTAGTCATTATGTAGCAATAGCTAATTGGGGCACATTTAGTACACTAAATGAATGCAATCACAAAAATAGTTTTGAATTCTTTATTTGACCAATACATGTATGTGTAATGTAGTACTCATAATGCCTTAATAATTTATAAATACTTTGCCATTATGATTTTTACGGTCTCCAACACAAACTAATGATTAGCTGTGAGTTGGTAGATTTGATGTTTATGTATAATTTCAGTTTAAAATTCTGTAATTCTGCGGAAGGAGCCAGTGGCGGCGCAGGTGGCCCCCCAGTCGGTGAACTTGCGGTACTCCCCTGGCCTCAGGAAGTACTGGCGGCCTCTGTAGTCGCTGTGCTCGTACAGGGTCCAGTATCCGTCCATCACATGAGAGGAGTAGATCTCACGGCTGCGGAAATGTTCTTGAACCGAGTCGCAGTCTTCACTGAACTCCACCATCTGACCCTGGAAGTTGGGTCTCTCGTAGATGCGGAGACGGTAGGGCCCCTCACTCGTCTGGGGAAATTAAATGTCATGTCAAAATCATTTAGGTCCAGATGGAGGCGTAAACTGCACCTTGCTGGAAACAAAGTCCATTCTAGTTTGTGTTAAAAAAGCACTTGGTATTCTTATTCATATTTGTGTGTCTTTGGTTTATGTCTGGGTTTTAAAACTATGCCAATAGTGAATATAGTAAGATACTTTTTGTCATACTTATTCAAAATAGATTTAAATAATCTGATTTACAAAGAAATCCAAAACAATATAATGTTTTATAATGCACTTACTGTGTCAAATAGACTTGAAATGGCTCTATGAATAAAACATGTAACCATAGACTATATTACTGCAGGTGATATATGTAACATTATATATTCTATAGATTGAAGAAACAAAATCCACAGGTGCAGTCCCAGAATACTCACATATGACACTGTGCGACAGGAGCGAATAGTATCATTGTAGCCCATCCAGCGCTGGTAGTCTGGATACTCCCCTCTGGTCAGGACGTACTGGTACCCGCTGTAGTTGGGCTTCTCATACAGCACCCAGCACCCACTCTCCACCTTTATGGAGTTACAGCGGCTGAAGTGTGGGTGCATGTCTGAGCAGTCCGTGTCACACTCATAGGAGCGACCCTGGAAGTTCCTGTCCTCATAAAAGATGATCTAGGCCGAGGAGTAGAGGTGAGAAAGTGTGTTATTGAAACCCACTTGGATCATTTTCCAAATCATGAACGCAATGTGTCATGCATCACTATAACTAATACACTAGCTACAGCAGTTACTTTGCATATGTTGTTAATACTTAGTAATTATAAATGTAATCTTACCTTGCTACTCATTATGAAGCCGTGCTGAACCAGTAATCTGCACAAAGTGGTGAACTCAAACCCACAACACCCCAGCCCTGCTATATAAACCTCAATCAAAAGGTAACAACCATTATCTCTTTTTTCAATGACGAGGGATTTACCAAGCTGGCACCACAGTGAAAATACCTGAATCATCAAAACAAAACTCACACTAGGCGAATTACTGACCCACTGAACCCTTTTAATTGATACAGGTTTTATTCAGCTGTGCATCATTGTGCAGATTAAACTAAAGGTCATCACAAATCAAAGAGCCATTTGTTGCTGTTCCAGCAGTGGATTTGTTTCATAAATCAAAGCCATATGAAGTACTGCTTTCACATCCAACACAGAAGACATGCCCACTGTACAAGGTTTGCTGAATTTATGCAATTTGAGAAAAAGTATTTTATCTTTTCAGTCTTGCAGAGATTCTTGTGAGCCTTCATAATTCTCAGTCCTTTCTGCTTGATCCTCACTTGTGTCCTGCAACCAGAGATTACAGCCACTAGAGGGCAGACAGGGGATGCAAAACTACACAGACATAGCACACGAGCAGAGGTGCTTTACTCTTTCCACTTTTAACTAAAGAGCCTATAACATTTCCTCTTAAAAAATTAACTTACACTCAGGAAAGACTGAGAAGAGGAGGAAGATGATGCCCGTGAGGGAGGTGCATTAGCTTTGGCCTTTTCAGACAGCCATCGTTTCAACTTCTCATCTTTACAGATTTAAAAAAGTTATTACAGTAAATGCCAGAGAATGTACTGCCACTCACTGTGCTTCTTGGAATGGTGGACTGCCTTGTAAGACGAGAGCATGGCGAAGGGATGGTATGATAAAGTGAACGGGTAAACGATTGCTGCCTAAAAAGGGATAAAAATAAAAGTACATTGTTCATGTAACTTAAGCAATGATCAACAAATACATCATTACTACCTTTGAATGTTCAGTGGAATAACAAGCCGCTGGTTTACATTTGTACAGAGCCAGTATTTCCTCAACAGGCAGCTTATTCTGGAGAAAGCATCAGTGTCAACGGTACTTTCATGATAAAATAATGCATATATTATAACATATGACCCTGAAATATCACTTTTCAAAAATAATGAATGTCCTAACATCAGGAAGAAGTAGGAAAGAGCGGGTCTAACGCTCAGCATAACAGTAATTTCCCTTTAAAATTAAATACATTCATTTTTAATTCATACTTTTTGTCTACCAACTGAGCTACTGTCGCCCCACAATGCATTGTGTTAAAATGCGTTTTGCACACACTGTAGTAGTATCAGCACTTACCACAATCATTCCAGCAAAAGAAGATAGAATCATAGCTTCTCGTTCCAACAGATTTGGATACTGGGCACTTCTGGCGGCTCCACTACAGAGAGCATATATTTCACTTCATTATTCATCATTCACACTGGATTTTAACATTGCAGAAAAGATGCTCACAAGAGGTCTTGGTCAAACACCGCCCGTGCCTCTTCTTTATTCAGCCACCAAAGAGCAACACTAATCGCAAGATCATAATGGGCCTGGAAAAAACACAACACTGATAATTCACTGGATTTAGTTTTGGTAACACTGTAGTAGACTAAGCCTCACTAATTAAGTGCTAATTAGATCAGCCTAACCCACACGGCAAACTATTAGATATTAAATGTTGAATAAGGCCATGTAAAGTAAATGTGACCCTATTTAGCTGCTAATTAGTGAGGGATAAATCATTATTACCAAATCATCCAGTATTGTGGAAGTATCCTTTCCTTTTGGATCAAACGACTTCTCTCTAATTCTTTGCCCAATGTAATCAGCACTGCATATTTTAGGAAAGAATGTAAATTATATATATATATATATAGACATAAATAACAAACTATAACAATTATAGTATTGTCAAACTCACAGAAGAGCTTGAAGGTCTCTTCTCAGTCTCTTTGCTCCCATTTTTATGAATAAAGGTGACGTCCAGTGGTCACCAACCTGTCTCAGGATTTACTAGATCTGTATCCAAGTAGATCCCCTAAAGGTTTAGAAAAAATATAGTAGACAGAATAGTACAGAATGCACTGTACCTGAGGGCTCTACATGCGGTCTGAAAGGAAAGTGGATCGCAGACAGACTTCTCAGGTTATCAAGTCTAAATTATTCATGATCTCTGACAATACACAGCCACAAACTCAGCTACTCCTTTGATTTAGAACAGAGACACGTTTGAAACCAGAAATAAAACCATTTTAAAATGTCTTTATTCAAAAATTAAAAATTACAAAAGAAAAGACATTCTCAAGCCCTTTTTTTGGTCTTTTTCTTGTTTTTTTTGTCCTTAAAAATGGGTGAGCTTAAAAACTCTGTATCCGTAAACTTGTCTCCACGTCTCAGCTTACTGTAAAAACACACACACACAGTACACGCACACGGTACACACACACACGGTACACACACACATAAGAGGATTAGAATGACTTTACATACTTTTGTTCAGAATGGTGAGATCAGACGGACCTGTTGAGGGGGGGCTCCTTGTAGCTCACTTTCTCCTTCCTTCGAGTGTGGCGTGTCTGTCCGTCATTTTCTATTCTTGGGTGTGAAATGGTGTTGGCCAGGGGAGTTGGAACTCTATCCACTGCAACACAAAACCCATCTCTCCATTATTACATCACAAACAAGAGAGAGCAGGGCCTCTCTGATAACATAAAGCATTACCTATGACGTCATTGTTGTGAGAACTCTCACTCTGCACCGTTCTTCTGGCTGTCCTGGGGGTACAGGGCATAGAACCCATCTCCACAGCACTAACATTGTGATCCAGCCAGGGAGGCATTTCATCGGTTAAAAGTTCCCTATCCGGCCACACATTCTGATATTGTTTGTTGTTTTTGTTGCTCTTGGACTTAGTTTCCGTGACACCGGAGAGCAACTCATCTTCAAGTGGACCAAACAAAGAATTGAAAAGTTGTGTAGCGTCTGTAGAACTGTTGGTTTTGTTTCCAACAGCAACATAATCTGGTTTCATCCTTTTCTTTTTCACTTTCCGTTTCTCCTTCTGAGCAGATTTCTTTGTCTCTGTTTTTTCTGTATCTCGTCTATTTTTTTTGGAAAGTTGAAAACCGCCGGAGGGGTCTGTTGTTTTATCCTCTTTGTGGTTAATGTCCTTCATAACTGAACTTGCCCGAGGCCGTTTACAAGAGCCAACCGGAACGTCAAGATAATGTGGGTTTGAAATAACGATAGATTTTCTTCTTTCATCTCCTTTTGTATCTGGATTTCCATCTTCCATATTTGATGTAATTACAAATGTTCTCCTACGTTTTGCAGGACCTTCAACATAGAGTATTTGGTCAGATTCTACTTGTACCGACACAATTCCATCTGTGGCCAACGGATGATAGTCCCGTTTATCCACAATCGAATCATTTCTGACAGTGTTGTTTTCCTGAGGTGACGTTAGCGGCACATCAAAGGTTCTCCTTGTAGTTTGCAACGCTCTTGTACTTCGAGTCTTCCTGTAGCTAACTTTTGAACTAACACGACCCTCTGTGGGTTCTTTGTGCTCCATAGACACAGGAAGACATTTATCCTGGTTAAAAACAGTCTCTGGACATTCTATTGAGGCAGTGTCCATTTTGCCGTGGTCCCACAGGTTGGATTGGTCTAGATTTTCACATTCAGAGCTTTGCAAACCCTTTGTTAGTTCTAATGAGGCCCACTCACTTTGAAGAGCAAAATCACCAGAAGGTGCGGGGGAAATGAAAAAAGTTTTCTTACGAGACGATCGCTTTGTTCTCCTGCAGGTGATGTTGGATATTTCTTCAGCATTATCATCGGGTTCCACAGGTTTATTTGTTTTTTTAATGTCCCCATCTTTAAAATTATTTTCCACTAAACAAGCATCTGCACTCTCCAGATCTAACTGCTTCATGGGTTTCAATGTTTCCTTCTTTTTCAAAGGGTTTGTCAAGGTTTTTTTTATCTTGGGAATGCCAGATGTATTCTTTCTACTCTGTGCTTTGCCCTTCAGTGACTCACATTGTGTCATTTCATTTTGTGCATACTTTACAACTTTTTCTGACTCCATAAAAGTGGATTGCTGCACCGGATCTTTGCTTTGGAAACCTGGGAGAGTGTTCACATCATATCCACGCTGGGCATACATCACTGACAGCCGGTTCACATCCTCCTCCAAGCTGCTGGATGGTCTGCTCCCTGCCACTGAAGGAGCGTCTGCAAGAATACTGTTGTGGTCTATGACAGCTGAAAGTAAACATACAGATATGAATACAATGCATTATTATCATTATTATTATTATTATTATTATTATTATTATTATTATTATTATTATACCATGGTCAGTCAGTGGTAGGTTGGGATCTTGAGAGGGCTTTCGGGGTGGTCGTGAAAAGTCCTTTGGAATTTGTGATTGAGTACTTGCCTGTCTGGCAAAACTGAAATGGAACATATTTACATGAAAGAGCACGACAATATCAACAATTTAACATAATTTGACTTACATTGAAAGAACATCCTCTGAATTACACATACTTTTTTGATGGTCGCCAATAGTTTTAGGACTGTCCTGAGGGAGAGCAATACAAGGTTTCGTTATAAAATCATGTCACAGTAGAAATAATGTACAGTAAAATCAGAGACAGGCTTACCTTATCAGAAATGAAAAGACCTGCCACCATTTCCAGATTTTTCTTTGTAGATAGAGTATTGCTTTGTATATTTTTTAGTATGGAAGACTACAAATTAAAATATATATATATAATAAAAACAGTATAATTATAATGATCATGTTTATACAAAACAACCATGTACAATATCAAGTTGAAAGAAAAGTTCACTCACCAGTTTCCTCTCATTGAATTTCCTTGCAGCCAAATCAAAGCATAATCCTTGGACTTGTTTCTGAAGGTAAAAGATCTCCTTCTCCAGTTGTCGGCTCTTTTCTTTCTCAATAGCCAGAGCAACTGCTAAAGCCTTGTTGTTGGTCTTTAAAGAGACCTTGAAAAATGAGGATGTGTCTGGTGGGGATATGTTGGATGTTTATTTGCAAGAAACTAGTAAAGAATTGGATCAGATTAGGGGTGTCATAAAAACATAATTTTCACTTACTGAGAATTTTGTTTTTGACCATTGATACTGCAACCGCTGTTTGCTTTACAACCCCCAAGGGTGCCCGAGTCTTCACTGGTAACATCATTGTGAGACCTACAAGAAAAACATTGGAAACATCACTTGCTTGTTTCATGAACATTGTATTATTGACACATGGATAGCTGATAATCACAAAACCAAAGTATCCCTCTTTTGTTTTTAATCCCAGGGTTTTATACTGTCAAAAGATAAATTAGAACTCAGACTTGTCTACATAAAACTCTCAAATTGGGAATGACGAGTGGGCCCAGCAACTAAAGAACCAAACTAACACAACAAACAACTGCAACCGAGTCATACATTCTGCCTCCCACATTATTATTATAGATCCATGCTCCCCACCAACGGGTTTATCGGACATTTATAATGCTGGGTTTAGAGTAGAGTAGAGTAGAGTAGAGTAGAGTAGTAAGAGTGATTTTAGTTTAGCTAGCGGTAGTTGGCTATATTAATGTTTCCAGTCTATGCTATCAGCCAGATACAGTGTTGCCAGTCTGTGGTCCTATTGTGTTATGTTATTAACAGATTATGTTGGGGCTGAGAATCCTGTCAATAATATCCACACACGCGCAATGCAAAATAAAATGATATCTACGTTATCTAAGTATCTTACCAGGTTATGATGTAACTATGAATGAATTATTCAGACGCTATCTCAAACTCCAACTGACCACACGCCACGCGCTGCCTTTTTCAAACACAACAGAGACCGCCGAACGAGAGCGCATGCGCAACATAAAGAAAAAAAGAATATACATATATAGCGTTATATCGACTACAAATAACTCTTTGATACTTCAATGACCATTTGATATTGTTTAATATTAAAAAAAACATTAACATACATATATTGTGTTTGTTGTTTGCTACTACTGTCTGATCCGATCGTGACTGTTGTATCGAGTGCGATTAGTCTGGTCTGTGTTGTGGAAGTCTGCAGTTTATGTGCATCAGATGTTTCAAGAGAGGCGAAACTCGGGAGAATTATGCAGAATTCATAACAGGACAGGTAACTCGAATAATAAACTGTCACACAGAAAAAACACCATACAACTCGTGTTTTCTAAAATCAAATTGAGTTGATTAGAGGAGCTAGCATGCTAACCTTTTTAGCCGGACAAGCTAACTTCACTATTCTTTGCGCGTTTATGAAATGATTATAGTTTGTCATTTGTTTATACAATAAGCCGACGATTGGCATGTCTTATTTACGTACCTAAAATTATTAAATTGTGTTTCCAATGAAAACTATGTGATTAACACTGAATATTCACCTTGGATAGTCCTCTTAGTGATCATTCTATCGATAGTAACAGATTATTTAGGAAACACGGTATGTCTGTTGTATTTAAGAATGTGCATTTGTTTTCTTATTTGTTGATTGAAGTCTGATGAGGTGTTTTCGGCTGTCAAACGAAACAGACAGAAGCCAGTCGGCCTGTTGTGGTCACATGATTTTGATGTAAGCTGTAATTCTGCTACTTCTGCCTTAGCTGTTTCCTCTACATGTCAAAAGCACAAAGTGAAAATGTGTTGCAACAATTCATTCGCCAGGGTTTTTTCCAGAAATTTGATGTGAAACAGACTAAAGCTAGAGCCTTTAAATTTTCTGTGACAACTAAACCTATTACAGAAATAAATAGAATGTATGTTAGAGACAATGTACATGTGGCAACGTTTGTGAGAAGCCTTTTCATGGTCTAGAAAGTGTTTATTGTATATACATGAAAAACAGATGTATAACTCAATATTTGTTGTTTGTCAGGAAGAAATGTGACATGGCAGCAGATGACAAATCGTCGTCTTCATCCTCAACAGACTGGAGTATTGACCCGCCGGTCCTCTCTCCCACCAGTCCTTCACATCTGACCCACTTTAAACCTCTGACCCCAGAGCAGGACGACCCGCCCCTCCGATCTGCCTACAGCTCATTCGTCAGCTTGTTTCGTTTCAGTAATAAAGGTCAGGGTTACTGTATACTCGCTCACAGTAGTATATAAGTATACATCTTTAAGAACCACAGCGCTCAACTTTCAGATACATTTTGAGAGATGTATCCGGACGGACAGGCAGTGGATTAAGGCTGTAAATCCATCAAGATGTTTATTTCAGAACATGTACAACACAATATTATGTGTTTTTATCTATTTTTAAAAACGATTCCATTGTAGAAATACAAAATGAATGTGATGGATGTAGTCAGCATCAATCCTTATTTTACCTCAGACATTAAACATTGCTGCAGGTTGAAAGATTAGGGTTCCGTTGAGGGAATAACAATGATTATTTAGGCTAATATAATTATTTTTGATGTTTTCTTTGTCAATCGCCTGTGGCTACCAAAGCTTAAGTAAACAAGAAACATGTAAAGCAGGTTACACACCCAACTAATTTTAAACACACTTTTAAATTAAAGTTTTACATTTCTGTATCGTAAGTAACTATTATAGATTTTTCTGTAATCTACAAACCTCAATATGCTGTACTTTATTTTTTACCTTAGCCATAGAATATTTATGTTTCTTGAAACTTGAGTGTAAGGTGCGATCAATGTTCAAAGTGCGCTAGGAATTGAGGGAAAACGGAAACCTGAAAAAATAAGACTCAGAGTACTTCATGTACCCCCAATGTAAATTGTTTTCTAAACACATATTGTAGATATTTGAAGAACCATGGTGCTCAGCTATGAGAGACAAACATTAATACGTTGTATATGTCATCATATTTATGTGATGACATAAATATATTCATTTAAAATCCAACTCTAGTTTAAACTAAGCTGGACTTTCCTTATCCATGATCAGATAATGCATCCCAAATACTCTCAGATTAGGGTAAATACTCGCCTGTTTTAGAACTCTCCACATCGCGACACTCTTTATCAGTGGAACCAAGAATACCTTCTGTCATTGTGTTGTTACAACACATACACCTCCCCATTCAAAGAGTCTGATTTAAGTTTACTTTCTTGTCTTTTAACACACCCTGAGTACTCTATTTATGCCAAATGTGACAAATGTCTCCACAGTGTGATTGATAAAGTCTTTCTTATCTGACATTGCTTTGGGTTAGGGTCAGTCCAGTCCAGCCTCCATAGTGTGTGCGGTCAGGTGACAGAAGTATCAGAGCTGTAAATCAGAGTCACATGACACACATTTTGTGCCTTTTCACTTATTTGAACTTGTATTCTAATTGTTTTTATTTTTGCGTCAAAAAGAAGCTAATTTGTTGATATTACATGGTACTCAGTGTGTTAGATGTTTTTTAAATCTTTGAAAATGAATGATCTTATGGTGTTGTTCTTTGTATTGTAATGAAGGCGTCTGTGGAGTCATAAACAGTAATGCTCTGTTCTCCAGACGAGGGGCGACCTCTTTCCTCGCTCACAGAAAAGTCTGATGTTTCCACCCCGTCTCCTCAGTCTGAGAGGAGGAGCTGGTCGGTCAGTCCGTCCCTCTCTGGTCATGGATCCCCGTCCAACCGGAAGCAGCGCTCAGACCATCTGCGACGCACCTCCACCGCCTCAGGTAATGAGTTATTATAGTGAGTTATTATAGTGAGTTATTATAGTGAGTTATTATAGTGAGTTATTATAGTGAGTTATTATACTGAGTTATTATACTGAGTTATACTGAGTTATTACACTGAGTTATTATAGTGAGTTATTATAGTGAGTTATTATACTGAGTTATTATAGTGAGTTATAACACTGAGTTATTACACTGAGTTATTACACTGAGTTATTACACTGAGTTATTATACCGAGTTATTATAGTGAGTTATTATAGTGAGTTATTATAGTGAGTTATTATACTGAGTTATACTGAGTTATTACACTGAGTTATTACACTGAGTTAATATACTGAGTTATTATACTGAGTTATTATACTGAGTTATTATACTGAGTTATTATAGTGAGTTATTATAGTGAGTTATTATACTGAGTTATTATACTGAGTTATTATACTGAGTTATTATACTGAGTTATTATACTGAGTTATTATACTGAGTTATTATACTGAGTTATACTGATTAATGCTTTTACTTTGGGTCATTGATGTTGGTTTTAGCCAAATCCTGTTTAGATTAAATTTCATATTACTCCCTTTTATGTGAAGTTTTTTTAGAGTGTATATTTGTAAGTATGTTCTGCAACATAGATGTAGTTGCAGAACATACTGTAACCATTGTATTTTTGTGACCTAAAGATTAAAAGAATATTTATGTGTTACTGTAGTAAGTCACAAGATTTACACTGAAGAAAAAGGAACTGCCACCTTAACGTGGTGGGGAAGTTTGAGTACTCGGGTGATCCTGGGAGCTATGCTGTCTGGGGCTTCATGCCCCTGGTAGGGCCTCCCTAGGCAGACAGGTCTCAGGTGACGAGTCAGACGAAGCGCAGTCAGAAGCCAACATGGACAGCACGAACAGAAGAACGGTGACGTCGCCCGGCATGGCGCAGCCGGGGCCCCATCCTGGAGCCAGGCCTGGGGTCGGGGCCCAAAAGCGAGCGCCTGGTGGCCGGGCCTTAGCCCACGGGGCCCGGCCGGGCTCAGCCCAAAAGGACGACGTGGGCAGTCCCTCCTGTGGGCCCACCACCTGCAGAGGGGTCCGTGGTGGCGCGGTGCAGAGAGGACTGGGCAGCAGTCGAAGGCGGAGACCTCGGCGACCCAGTCCGCACACACAATATCTGGCTCTTGGGACGTGGAACGTCACCTCACTGGGGGGGAAGGAGCCCGAGCTTGTGGGGGAGGTCGAGAGATACCGACTAGAGATAGTCGGCCTCACCTCCACACACAGCTTGGGCTCTGGAACCCAACTCCTTGAGAGGGGTTGGACGCTCCACTTTACTGGTGTTTCTCGCGGGGAGAGGCGGCGAGCTGGGGTGGCCATTCTCATTGCCCCCCATCTCAGCCGCCACGTGTTGGAGTTCTCCCCGGTGAATGAGAGGGTCGCGTCCCTCCGCCTCCGGGTGGGGGACAAGTTGTGACGGCCAACGGGCCTAACAGCAGTGCAGAGTACTCGGCCTTCTTGGAGTCCTTGGGAGGGGTACTGGACAGTGCACCGCCCGGGGACTCCGTCATTCTCCTGGGGGACTTTAACGCCCATGTGGGAAGCGCCAGTGACACTTGGAGAGGGGTGATCGGGAAGAACGGCCCCCCTGATCTGAACCCGAGCGGTGTTCAGTTGTTGGACTTCTGTGCTAGTCACGGTTTGTCCATCACGAACACCATGTTTGAGCACAAGGGTGACACCAGGGCACCCTAGGCCGGAGGTCGATGATCAACTTTGTTGTCGTATCATCTGACCTTCGGCCGCGTGTTTCGGACACTCGGGTAAAGAGAGGGGCGGAGCTGTCAACCGATCATCACCTGGTCGTGAGTTGGATCCGCTGGCAGGGGAGGAAGCCGGTCAGACCTGGCAGGCCCAAGCGTGTAGTGAGGGTTTGCTGGGAACGTCTCGCTGAGACCCCTGTCAGACGGACTTTCAACTCACACCTCCGGGAGAGCTTCTCCCAGGTCCCGGCGGAGGAGGGGGATATCGAGTCTGAGTGGACCATGTTCTCTTCCTCTATCGCCGATGCGGCGGCTCGTAGCTGTGGTCGCAAGGTCTCTGGTGCTGGTCCCGGCGGCAACCCCCGAACCCGGTGGTGGACATCGGCAGTAAGGGATGCCGTCAGGCTGAAGAAGGAGTCCTATCGAGCCATGATGGTTCGGGGGACTCCTGAGGCAGCTGTCCAGTACCGGCAGGCCAAGCGTGCTGCGGCCCGGGCTGTTGCAGAGGCAAAAACCCGGGACTGGGAGGAGTTCGGAGAGTCCATGGAGCATGACTATCGGTCGGCCTCAAAGAGATTCTGGCAAACTGTCCGGCGCCTCAGGAGGGGGAAGCAGTTCTTCGCCAACACCGTGCACGGTGCGGGTGGAGAGCTGCTGACCTCAACTGGGGATATTGTCGGGCGGTGGAAGGAATACTTCGAGGTTCTCCTCAATCCCCCCGTCACGTCCTCCGCCCCGGAGGCAGAGGCTGAGGATGTTGGGGCGGATACTTCCATCTCCCTGGCAGAGGTCACCAAGGTGGTTGGCAGCCTCCTTGGTGGCAAGGCGCCGGGAGTGGATGAGATCCGTCCTGACTATCTAAAGTCTCTGGATGTTGTGGGATGTCTTGGCTGACACGTCTCTGCAACATCACGTGGCGATCGGGGGCGGTGCCAGTGGAGTGGCAGACCGGGGTGGTCCCTCTCTGACCGGGGTGGGGGTCCCCCTCATGCCGGGGTGGTGGTCCCTCTCAGACCGGGGTGGTGGTCCCTCTCTACAGGAAGGGGGACCGGAGGGTGTGTTCCAATTATCGTGGGATCACACTCCTCAGCCTCCCCGGTAAGGTCTACTCCAAGGTGCTGGAGAGGAGGCTACGGCCGATGGTCGAATCTCGGATCCAGGGGGAGCAGTGTGGTTTTCGTCCCGGCCGCGGAACACTGGACCAGCTCTATACTCTCCATCGGATACTCGAGGGTTCATGGGAGTTCGCCCAACCTGTCCACATGTGCTTTGTGGATTTGGAGAAGGCATTTGACCGTGTTCCCCGGGGTGTCCTTTTGGGGGTTCTCCGGGAGTACGGGGTCCTCTGCTGAGGGCCGTCCGGTCCCTGTATGACCGGAGCCAGAGCTGTGTCCGCATTGCCGGCAGTAAGTCAGACCTGTTCCCGGTGCATGTTGGCCTCCGCCAGGGCTGCCCTTTGTCACCGGTTCTGTTCACTGTATTCATGGACAGAATTTCTAGGCGCAGCCTAGGATTTAATCTCTGCTGTTTGCAGACGATGTTGTTCCCAACAAACCAGGACCTGCAGCATGCACTGGGACGGTTTGCAGCCGAGTGTGAAGCGGCTGGGATGAGAATCAGCACCTCCAAATCTGAGGCCATGGTTCTCGACCGGAAAAAGGTGCCTTGCCCTCTCCAGGTGGGTGGAGAGGCCCTTCCTCAAGTGGAGGAGTTCAAGTATCTCGGGGTCTTGTTCACGAGTGGGGGAAGGATGGAGCATGAGATTGACAGGCGGATCGGTGCAGCGTGCGCAGTGATGCGGTCTCTGTATCGGACCGTTGTGGTGAAGAGGGAGCAGCGTCTGCAGTCAGAGCTGTATCGGACCGTTGTGGTAAAGAGGGAGCTGAGCCGAAAGGCAAAGCTCTCGATTTACCGGTCAATCTTCGTTCCCTCCCTCACCTATGGTCATGAGCTTTGGGTAATGACCGAAAGAACGAGATCGCGGATACAAGCGGTCGAAATGAGCTTCCTCCGCAGAGTGGCTGGGCGCTCCCTAAAGCCTGGTTCACACGGCAGGATATTTAGGCCGATTTAGACCCGATTTACCCCTTACGACAATCTTAAGAAACGCTCCGATTTCCATAACAAAATCTTACAGATATCCTGCCGTGTGGTGTGTTAAGACTGCACTCGTCGCTCGGAAGGACATCGGGACTGCTCCCGATCTCAAATCGGGGATATCCAACATGTTGGATTGTTTTGGCCCGATTTCTTGTCGTGTGTGGTGTCCTCCGAGGACAAGCGAGCGCGTTGCCATGACTACGGCGTGTAGCCAATAAGAAGACGAGGTGACAAGCCGGTGAGGGAACACCGGAAAAAAACCAAAACACAGCAGCATGGCTTTGACCATTGCCTTTTCTTTGGATTACGTGTCTTCTCTGTTAACAACAAACTGCACACTATCGCCACTGCATCCTCTTCGTCCGCCATGACTGTTTACTCTGAAGTCACGCTTGATCTCGAGAGATTTTGTGAGATTTCTGTCTGACCTGGGAATGCTCGGGGGGGCGTGTCGGTTCGTGTGTGATGTTTGTGGCTTGCGTGATCTTGCCGTGTGGCTACGCACCACACACTGCACGACCAAAGTGGTTAGACGCAGGATTTTTAATCTCCCCGTGTGGGGTCTAACACGGAGAAAAATCGGCCGACAATTTTAAAATCGTCTCGTGTGAACCAGGCTTTAGAGATAGGGTGAGGAGCTCAGTCACACGGGAGGAGCTCGGAGTAGAGCCGCTGCTTCTCCACGTCGAGAGGAACCAGTTGAGGTGGCTCGGGCATCTGTTCCGGATGCCTCCTGGACGCCTCCCTGGGGAGGTGTTCCGGGCACGTCCCACTGGGAGGAGGCCCCGGGGAAGACCCAGGACACCCTGGAAGGACTATGTCTCTCAGCTGGCCTGGGAAACCTTGGAGTCCCCCCGGACGAGCTGGAGGAAGTGTGTGTGGATAGGGAAGTCTGGGCGTCTCTGCTTAGACTGCTGCCCCCGCGACCCGGCAACGGATGAAGCGGAAGAAAATGGATGGATGGATGAATGGAAAATGATTTATAGATATGAAGACAATAAAAAACATTCATTCAACACAAATGGATCTTTCTCAAGAAAAATCTGTATTTAAGCATTTCTAACGTTTGTACAAATCTTTGAGTAACGCGCACTGCCAGGGAATGACTGACAGTTCTCATGTCTTTGTAGTTCCTCTGGATTGGCCAGGTGAGGGCTCTGCACTGTCTAAGTTGGATAACTTTTATTTTAACACCTTTTTGCTTTAATGCTTGTGCACATGTGCAGCTCTGCCTTTTAATACAGCAGCACTAGTATTTTGTGTTCCCTAATGTTACACTAAGGTACTAATGACTTTCATGTTTGTGAACCTAACAAGGACCCACTGTTCCGATGCATTGGTGTTTCCTTTATAACATCCAACAGTGCTGTGTACCAAAGTGCCATATCAAAATGAAAATGTAGTATTTCATCAATGTTTTGTGTGATATTGAGTGTTATTTGTGTCCTCTTCTCACATTCAGACAGCAGTAGGAAGTCTGACTCCCCTCTGAACAGTCATGACCCGCGCACTGCTGTGCAGCTCCGTACAGCGCTGAAGAGGCTCAAGGAGATCATGGAAGGAAAGAGTCAGGTAACGATGATGTCATAGTTTAACATTACACTGTTTACATGCCCTGCACAATCTACTTGTATATATATGTGGTGGTGGTCAGATGAAGCTGATTTTATCAAACAACAATAGGTTTTTCTTTTTTTAACTGTGCCAATTATACTGCCACCTGTGATGTGGCATCTCTGATGGCCACCCCCCGACCCAGAAATGGATCAAGGGGTAGAAAATGGATGGATGGATGGAAATTATACTGATCTAAAGTTCTCATACCCTTGTGCACAAACAGGTTTTAATGGCAACTAAATGTAACCATACAATAAACCGCTTCAGCCACTAACAGTGACAGGGAATGTACATGTAACTGTGTTCTCCTGCAGGACAGCGACCTGAAGCAGTACTGGATGCCCGACAGCCAGTGTAAGGAGTGTTATGACTGTAATGAGAAGTTCACTACATTTCGCCGCCGCCACCACTGCCGTCTCTGTGGACAGATCTTCTGCAGTCGTTGCTGCAATCAAGAAATTCCTGGAAAGTTTATGGGATACACAGGTATGTATTAAAGTGTCTACAATAACCAAGCTTTAGCGTGACTGGTTTACATGTACTGTTGAATGTCCAGGAGACCTCCGCGCCTGCACATACTGCCGTAAACTGGCCCTTAACTATGCTCAGACTGAGTCTGGCTCTATTGGAGAAGACCTCAGTGCTCTGTCCGACTCCTGCTCCGTGAGTGTCCTGGAGCCCAGTGAGCCCCGCACTCCTGTGGGCGGGCGTAAGGCCAGCAGGAACATCTTCCTCGAGGAAGATTCTACATGGCAAAGGTCAGAGTAAAGCCCTACATACACAGCTGTGTCTGACTGACTTTATCATTACAGCTTAGATAGAAGATAGAAAGGTTGTCGTTTGTTCAGACTCATAAATTCATTCACACATTTTTCATTGTAAAAAAAAAAAAACCCAAAAACAACTCCAAAACTGAATAAACAGCTTGTTTGAGACATTGATTGTTTAACAGTGCATGCATTTTGTATCTTCTGTCTGTTTGCATTGAAATATACTTTTACTTGAATCAAGATGCTCCTTGCTTATAATCTCTGCCAAATAATTCCGCTGTCGCTCAAATAAATTATTTTTCCCTTCTTTCTCCTGGCATAGAAAAACTCCTGTTGGGATGAGAAAGACGTGAGTCAAGCTGTTTCCTTTTTTCAATTATTTTAATTCACTTTCTCTGTTCAGCTTAATCATTTCTGTCACTACCGTTTCTTGCTCCTTGTCTGTGTAGTTTTAGATTTACAACAGTTATAAAAGCTTCTTTTTTCTGCAGTATGCATCACCAGGAACCTCAGAACTCGGGTCTTAACTCCAGACTGTCCACATTGCAAGAAGACATTGGAAAATCTCCAGCAAGGAAGCGGTCAGTTTCCTTTCTTTTTCCTACAACCGTGAGAGGTCATAATGAGCCACTGTCCATTCAACAGGTCTGCAAGTGTGACCAACTTATCTCTGGATCGCTCTGGAGGAACCATGGGGCCTTCCTATGAGAGCTCCGTCAGCCCGCCTCCCAGCCGCACAATCTCTGCTTCCAAAAGTGGCTCCAAAATGGACCACAGAGAGGAGGAAGAGAGAAAGATTTTACTGGTAATTGGTAACAGATAAATCTTTGGGGTTTTTTCTCAGGCCTAAACGTTCCTGTCTTGTAGGATTCGTCGCAGCTAAAGGAATTGTGGAAGAAGATCTGCCACAACAGCACTGGCATGGAGTTCCAGGATCATCGATATTGGCTGCGGACATACCCGAACTGCATTGTGGGAAAGGAACTTGTCAACTGGCTACTTCGAAATGGTACCATCTCCACGAGGTAAGAGTCTGTCACCAACATTATACTGAGCTAAATGTTTGTGTGTAACTGCTGCTGCAGGGTTTGCTCAAGCAACATTTGATAGTATTTGTACGATTACAATGAATGAGATTTTCCCCATAATTCTCCAATGCATTTATTCTTTTAACTATTTAGTGTCCATTTTGTATGTCATGTTTTGTGGCAGAGCTCAAGCAATAGCTATTGGTCAAGCATTGGTGGATGGTCGGTGGTTTGACTGTGTCACCCATCATGACCAACTGTTTCGGGATGAGTATGCACTCTACCGCCCTCTTCAGGTAGACAACAAAACACTATGAATGAACACATTGGAGAGATAAGTGAAGATGGATTTAGTGTTGAGTAGGAAATGATGACAGTGTTCTCTGTGTGTAGAGTACAGAGTTTTCAGAGACGCCCTCTCCCGACAGCGACAGTGTCAACTCCATAGAAGGACAGTCTGAGCCCTCCTGGTTCAAAGATATCAAGTTTGATGACAGTGACACAGATCAGCTGGCAGAGGACTACACCATGCCCAGTAAGGACTAACATATTTACAGTGTATGTAGGTCTAACTAATATAGACTATGTATAACTCTGCGCTTGTTTGACACATGTTCCAGACTCAGCCAGCCCCAGTAAGAGGACGTCGGTCAGCAGTTTCCACTCCGTGGTGGACAGCGACTCTGCTGCCTCCATAAACCTCAATATGGAACAAAACAATGTCAACTTTCACATCAAGAAACAGGCCAAGTATCCACACGTCCCGGTTACCAATGAGCAGAAAGGTATTGTGTTACACAACCAGAAGAGAGCGTGTACTTTCTCATTCAGCAAGACCAACAACAACTGAATGTGATTAAAAAGTATGGATTAATAACAGCAACTCAGGGGGGAGTTTGGTCTCAGGTGCTCAGCCACGGGATTGATTGAAAGATCTGTGAAAACGTCCTATAATGATTGCATCAGTCTTACATAATGGATGAATATAATATATTATTATACGATCATGAGGATCCATGAGGTGTGGGTGGAAACGCTGTAGAAAGTTGGTCCTGCTCCAGATCCTCAATGTTTAATAACATTAACTACATTTGTCGCCCTCATAAAAGTCACACAAAGACATTTGGTCGTAATTACATTTGAAGTAAAATAATTCTCTGTTCCCTGGATGTATTTTGCAGCTGCAGCGGATGTGTTTGTTTCTGAGGACGGAGGGCAGAACATTGTCATCAGTGATGCTTTCATTCAAGGTATAATTATTATGATTATGTCATACATGTTGCTTGGTCTGGTCAGGGGTCATGTGTTTTTAAGACTATGTTTCATATCATTTTCAGAATCTTTGTTCAATCGTCGTGTGGAGGAAAAGGCAAAGGAGATGCTGTTCACTCCCCTGGGCTGGCACCACAGTTCTCTGGATCAGCTGCGTGAAGAGAACGGCGAGAAGAAGGCCATGGAGAGGCTGCTGTAAGTAATGGCAGTATTTAAAGAATACATGTTATTAGATGTGTCTATGTTCTTCCTTATTTCTGTTCAGTTCAGCCAATCACAGCCACATGATGGCGCTGTTGCAGCAGCTCCTGTACAGTGAGTCTCTGTCTCTGTCCTGGCGAGACATCATCGTCCCTGTGGTGCGGCAGGTCGTCCAGACGGTCCGCCCTGATGTCCGCAACTGTGACGATGACATGGACATCCGGCAGTTTGTCCACATTAAGAAGGTTAGCCAGTTCCACATTCACTTCAATTATCTAATTCAATATATACATGTGACTGACACCACATGTGACAAACTGCTGTAATTTGATTTTAGCCCCACCTTATTTTAGATACAAATTACAATTTTGTTATTTGTGCGTCAGATTCCGGGAGGGAGAAAGTTTGACTCGACAATGGTGAATGGTTTTGTGTGCACCAAGAACATCGCTCATAAAAAGGTGAACAAAGATCCTTCTGTTTGAACTGAGCGGTAATACTCAGATGTGTTTTATTAAATCTGCTCCAATTAGATGTGCAATTATATACCGCCTGTGAAAGGCGGTATATAAATAAAGCTTACTTACTTACTTACTTACTAGATGAATCCTTACATCAAGAATCCTAAAATCCTGCTGTTGAAGTGCTCCATTGAGTATTTGTACAGAGAGGAGACCAAGTTCACCTGCATCGATCCCATCGTGCTGCAGGTAATACGCAGAATGAACCAGGTTATTAGAACAGGGGCTAATCAGCGCACTCACTGATCCTCAGGAGAAAGAGTTCCTGAAGAACTATGTCCAGCGCATTGTGGATGTGCGTCCCAATCTGGTGCTGGTGGAAAAGACGGTGTCGCGTATAGCACAGGACATGCTGCTGGAGCACGGCATCACGCTGGTCATCAACGTCAAACCGGTCAGTGCGCGGTCACACAACTTATTGTTGTTGTTAGTATTGAAACTATTGTAATGATAAGAGATGATGCAGAATGTTGCCATTTCATAAACATCATCTACGAGAGAAAAGAACGTCTTCTATCAGAATGTAAACAGGAAGTTCTTAGCAGAGTAAGGAAGTAAACCAGAAATTATACGGAAACTTGTCTCTACAGGACAAAATTGGACATGAACAGAGATTTAGACCAGACTGAAAGAGCTGTTACTTCTGTTATATCTGCAAACAGTGACAGCTCTTGTCCAAACAAGAGCATTATGAAAAAATCACTGAGCTATCAAATATCTAGTGCTAAGTCTATTTGGTTGCTTATTTTTGTATCTATTCTATTTCTAAAATCAGACTCTATAAGTTGACTAGAACAGAAAAACAAAATGACTCCAGTCAACATGAGACAAGAGGAAGAGAAGGTCTTTTATTCTTCACTGCAGTACATACACTGTATATCCCATTCTTTTACTGTTTATTTAATGTTATTTATATATATATAAAAAATAAAAAATAATTCTCACCTTTGGCCCTCCGCGGGCGGTTATCCCTCTCTAAGCTCGGGTCCAGGGAGCTTGAGGGTTCAGTATCTTTGCTGTTCCTAGCACTGCACATTTCTGGACCCAGATGTCCGAGGTTGTTCCAGGGATCCGCTGTAACCTCTTCTAGCTTCGGGGTCACTGCCCCGAGTGCACCGATCACCACGGGCACTACTGTCACCTTTACCCTCCAGGCCCTCTCCAGCTCCTCTCTGAGACCTTGGTATTTCTCAAGCTTTTCATGTTCTTTTTTCCTGATGTTAACATTGCTTGGAATTGCCACGTCCACCACCACGGCTGTCCTCTGCCCTTTGTCCACCACCACGGCTGTCCTCTGCCCTTTGTCCACCACCACGGCTGTCCTCTGCCCTTTGTCCACCACCACGGCTGTCCTCTGCCCTTTGTCCACCACCACGGCTGTCCTCTGCCCTTTGTCCACCACCACGGCTGTCCTCTGCCCTTTGTCCACCACCACGGCTGTCCTCTGCCCTTTGTCCACCACCACGGCTGTCCTCTGCCCTTTGTCCACCACCACGATGTCAGGGGGGTTCATTACCATTCGGTCGGTCTGTATCTGGAAGTCCCACAGGATCTTTGCACGCTCATTCTCCACCACCTTTGGAGGAGTTTCCCACTTAGACCTTGGGGTTTCCAGCCCATACTCTGCACAGATGTTTCTGTACACTATGCCAGCCACTTGGTTATGGCGTTCCATGTAGGCCTTCCCTGCCAGCATCTTGCACCCTGCAGTTATGTGTTGGATCGTCTCAGGTGCCTCTTTGCACAACCGACCGGCAGTCTTGGGCGACTGTTCTGTCAACCAGGAGCTGGTGTTTGGCTCCTCTGGTGTCCCTACCAATGCCCTTCTGTGCTGTGCTCATGAATTGTTCCATATGCCCACTTATCTGTCCCTTGTTGGAACAAGGGACAGATAAGGGGACAGGAGGGACAGGAATATGACAGGAATATGACAGGATATGACAATATGACAGGGACAGGAATATGGAACATTGTCCCTTGTTCCATATGCCCACTTATCGGGGCGGCACGGTGGCTGAGTGGATAGCACTCTCGCCTCTCAGCAAGAAGGTCCTGGGTTCGAATCCCGGTCGGACCAGGGCCTTTCTGAGTGGAGTTTGCATGTTCTCCCCGTGTCTGCGTAGGTTTCCTCCGGGTACTCCGGTTTCCCCTACCATTAAAAATATGTCCAATAGTTCTGGCATGCGCCTCCTGTACTGGCGACCCCGCTCCCATCTCTGTGTGGAGTGAGAGACAAATGCCCATAATTAACAATTGTAAACCGCTTTGAGACTCAGATCTGCAGTGAAAAGGCGGTATATAAATAAAAACTTACTTACTTACTAACTTACTTACTAACTTATCTTAGCCGCAATGATGCCTGACATGAGCTTCCATGTTGTGGAGAGACAGGTTATTGGCCGGTAGTTGGAGGGGACTGCACCCTTGACAAGGTCCTTCATGATCAGGACCGTTCGCCCTTCGGTTAGCCATTCTGGGTGAGTCCCATCTCTCAGCAGCTGGTTCATTTGTGCTGCTAGGCGCTCATGGAGTGATGTGAGTGTCCTTAGCCAGTAGGCATGGACCATATCAGGGCCAGGTGCTGTCCAGTTTTTCATACCTGAAACTCTTTCTCGGATGTCTGCCTCTGTGATGGTAACTGAGTTCTGTTCTGGGAGGTGGCTGTGCTCCTCTCTCAGGGACACCAGCCATTGTGCACTGCTGTTATGTGCTGCATCCTTCTCCCATATGTTCCTCCAGAACTGTTCAGTTTCCAGCCTCGGTGGATCTGCTCCCCTGTTGTTACCCTGCCACTGAGCGTACACCTTCGCAGGTTGTGTTGCGAACAGCCTGTTCACCCTTCTGGCTTCATTCTCTTTAGTGTACCTCTGTAGGCGGCTGGCCAGGGCTTGGAGCCTTTGTTTGGCAGTTTCGAGTGCTTCAGGTATGGTCATCTGGCTGTACTTTCTGGGTACTGGTCTTTTCATTGCACCTCTCTGGGCCTCTGTTAATTGACTCACTTCTCTCCGAGCCGCCTTGATCTTAGCCTCCAACCGTCTTTTCCATGGTGGGTATTGTCCATGGCTCCCATGGTTGCTCTTATAGCCAAGCATCTCTAGGATCACTGCTGCTGAAGTGTATATCAGCTCATTGGTTTCAGTGATTGTGGTGGTAGGTATTGCCCTCACTGCTGCATTCACGCTTTCTATGAGATCCTTAGGTGGTACTTCACACAACCGCTGTAACCGGTGTCTTTGCCCTGTGCCCATTCTAGCCATGATCTTAGCTTTCAGGTCAGTCGCTGCCTCGTTCAGCGTTATCGGTTCCATTGGGGCTATGTACCCAATATCTGGTTGGGGAGTTGCAGTTGGTGGGATCTCCCCTCTGACCTCGGCAACTGTGGCATCATACATGTGTTGTACCTCATCAATCTCAAGCTGTGATAGCAGTTGCCGTTTGTGGATGTTGGAGCATTGAGCTACCAGTTGTTTCGGGGTCAGCTGTGACTGTGGGTTTCGAAGTAACCATTCAGCCCACATTCTCTGCATGTAACCTCTTTGGCCAGGGTTACTCGAGTAGTAGCATTCCAACAGAGCCCTGTTATCGCATCTCGCCCACTTTCGCCTTGTTCCAGTAGCCCACTTTTCATCAAGGTGCTCTGGTTCCCCAGCACCTGACGCAGACCTTGTTTGGCCGGGCGACGGCTGATCCGGCATCTCATTGCTTATTTGTGCCTTCATGGTTATGAGTTAGGCAGTAGCATTAAGGGTCTTGCCCAAGGACCCACACTGGATGTATATTGTATATACAGTATATGCAGTATATGCAGTATATGCAGTTGTTAGGATTTAGCAGACAGAGACGGATCGTAGTGTGCCAAACTCTGGAAGTTTATTTAAGTTTCTCTCAAGTTCCACTGGTTTACTCTGTTTCTTTCTCTCAGACAGAATAAAGGCAGTACACAGTTTATATAGTCATTGTCACGTCACACATCGAAAGACATACGTGTCACAAAGAGACAGTCACATCATAGTCATAACATGGAGTCCTTGTACAGTCCTGCACGTAGGCCATATTGCTATCTAATACTAACACCCTCCCCTTTGATCACATAATCACATGTGATCACTCAATTTGATCAATCAATAAAGTGGAAAAAGAAAAAAAAAAAAATTCCACAAAAAAACTTTAAAAAATTATTAAAAACAAAGAACATGTATGCATTGAACTCATAATCATCAAATCAATATCAGTGGATTTTGTCCTCTATCCTGGGAAAAAATAAACAAACAAAAATAAAGTAAATAAACAAACAAAAAACAAAAACAAATCAAAAATAAAAACAAACAAACACTATTGGACACACAAGAACTCAGCAAATTCAGTCAAAACACAGACAAAAACGAGCTGAGTCTCAATTTAGAAGCTAATTTCACTTTTATTACTCTATACTTTTATTCTAATGCTGATTGTTTACACTACACTCCACTGTATTATTTTCACTATTTAATCTTAGACTGTGTACTTTACTTTCATTATTCACTATAGTTTAAAACTATTCTAATCTATTTTAGCAGGTTTGGGGTTGGGGTCAGTTATACTACAATGGTGTTTGTGCTGGAAACTTCTCAAAGATATCCAAATATCTACTATTTTGTTTTTGGGCTATACCCAAATGCATCAAAATGCTTTTAAATGCTTTTGGTTGTAATCTATCTCATTGATCTAAGCTACATTAATCTAGGCTACACTCATATGAACTTTTTGTATTGTCAACATTCACAGATGTTTGAACACAAGTGAATTTGGCAAGTATCTAATAAAACTGTACATAAAACTGTAAGTAACTTTATCTACTTTTGAAGTAAATGTTTGTGAAATGGTCCCTTTACCATTTGATATTTAACCTTGCCTGCAAGCTGAATTCTCGCGGTATTTGTGAGTTCACAAACACTCGAGAATACATCTTGTACCGCTCCCGCTTACACTTTTCGAGTCGAACCACTGGGTGTGCGAGCCAATCACGCGCCAGTCTGGGGGTTTAGGGCGGGATATCCGGGTTTGACGAAAGCAAGAAGTGCCGGGCCGAAGCAAAACAAACATGGCTACGCAGGAGGACGGACGCGTAGCTGAGGCTATCAAGTCAGTTTTAGCAGAATCTCCAATTTCTTTTTTGAAAGATGAACAGCGAGAGGCGCTTTGTGCATTTCTGGACGGCAAAGATGTTTGTGCATTTTTACCTACGTAAGTCAAACCTTGGTAGGCGGGCACACAGCGTCACTTCGCCCAATCAGCTTCAAGTATTCTGCTGCTTATCCCTCCTTTCCCCGAAAGGATTCTCCGTGAGAAATCCCAGATTGATATCGCGGAGAACGCGTTAGAGTTCTACACAATCATCAATCTGGCTCTTGCCAG